TGCACTTCACCGTTGCTCTACACCAACGTGCCTGCATTTCACTTCTTCATGTATCCTTTCAGGTCGAGTAGACACATCGTTAGGTTGTACCTGTCACACCTGCGCTGCTTTCCACACTGAAGTCAGACTCGTGTGCGTTTGTGTAGATGTGAACGAGGTCACTGCACTCGGATGCTCTGGAGGAGGCGTGTCGGTCCAAACTCTAGTTTGCCAGGTGTGGTCGGGTATGTTGCAGTTGTTGTTCCCGCCCTCAGACACATCTGGCCAGTCAGCAGACAGGATGGTGTCATGCAGCTTGTAGCGGCTTTCGTTGGCGCTTCCTCTGTGTGAAAAGAAACCAAACCGCGAGAGAAAGCTTCAGGTTTACAAACTCAGCAGCTAATTCCCAGCAGTCGTTTGTTCAGTTTGATTTCTGTGAACAGTAAGCCCCTCCCACGCCTGGCTGGCCGGCCTCTAGTGGACACTTCAGGCTCCACTCTCTACATCAGGGGTCGGAAACCCTGGGTACACGTGCCAAGGGTTAACTGATGACACGACCATAGCTGGATTGGGCATCGGGCATTTGCCCGATGGGCCGGAAAGGGGAGGCAGGAGGAGAGACCCGAGGCGGCCGCAGGTCCGAGTGTCAGGTGAACTGAACTTCAGGTAAGAAGTTATGAGCTGCAGTCTTTCTGGGTCAGATATGAACCAAGTTTAGGTGGAGTTTATTTTCGTTGTGCTGACTTTTTACAGTCAGTTACAATAACTCATACTGCCTGAGCTAGCATGACGGAGTTTCTATACAGCTGGGTGGTGCTATGATGTTACTGATAGTGAACTTTATTCATAAGGTTAGTTAGTAGAGTTTCCAACGGCTCCTTAAAAATGGAACGGTCCCTCATTCAGAGAAAATATTACGCGTTTCTTATTGAGCTGAGAAGAGACTCAGTTTGTCCCGGACTTCAGCTACAATGAAAAAGACACAAAGCTGGAGTTATTCTGTCTTTGCTGCAGCTTGCCTCTTCAATATTACGCGTTTCTTATTGAGCGTGAGAAAGGAACAGTTTGTCCCGGACTTCAGCTACAATGAAAAAGACACAAAGCTGGAGTTATTCTGTGTTTACGCTGCACAGCTGCCTCTTCTTCTCTCATTCTCCCCCCTCCCTCTCCTGTTTCTACTTCAATCATGAAACTGATCAATGATCAGCTGATCGGCTTTTCTCTCTTGTTTGTTTATCGCCCACTTTGCGCCAGAAAGAGGAAACCAGCGGATGTCGCGCTAAACAACAGCAGCACGTTTAAGCTTGATCAGCTGTTGTTAGAATTTATTTAATATTAATTTCTAGTATCAGCTGATGTTTGCTGGAGCCACAGCTGTAAAGCTGCTGGTCATGATGGTTTGGTTATCTGGTGAGAGGGAAACATGAAGATGAAACCAGGAGATGTCCTTACTGGATCATCAGAGCTGAACAGGTGATGGAGAAACAGGTTTACCTTTTAGGTGACATGGATGAGTTGAAGTTATGAACTGTTTCTGAGAGACAAATAACACCAGGATCCTTTTTTAGGTAGCTGACAGCTGGTAACTGTGCAGGGGCGGGTCTAGCAAAGTGTTGCCAGGGGGCCAGGTAGGGCATTAACAGGGAGAGGGGGGCACAAAGAAATACTTTTCTTTCTTATATCTAGCTTTTATTAAATAATTATCTGAATCTTGCAAACAAAGCTTTTATCTGATGTCAAATGTATAGAAATCATCCATATACCAACAAGACTGTACATCACTGTCACAGCAGCGTTTGTTTTCATGGTTGTGAGGAGACCATAAATAGCATTTGTATTTTCTGTTGTACAGTCCATTTGCTGTTATGGATAAAAAGTATTTTTGTGTCAAAATAGCTGATAACTATTCGCTGACAGCTGCCAACATCTGCGAACAAATGTAATCCTATAAAGTTGTTATATTAAGTGTGTAACTGTTCATATAGAGCGTTATTACATTTATTGCAAATGCAGTCATACGGCACACTGACTTCTGAGGAGATTTTAGATGCACTCATCATCAGAAAGGTTGCCGACCCCTGCTCTACATAAAGGAATAATATTTTCACCACCCATCACATGTTAACCCAGCGTTGTTTTTGTGTTTATTTGAGGTCATTTTACATTTCTGCTGACATTTTTGAGGTCATTGTTTTGTTTTGTGTCTCTTTCCCTGCTATTGGTGGTCATTTGAAACGCTCACCTCAACGTTCATCAGTGTCTTTGCTAACCCAGAGATGAGCGTCACAGCCCTGTAATGTCACCCACTAGCGTCCCGGATATTTTCAGGTAATCCTGTTTGGATTGTGAGCCAAAGCTTGGTCGTCGGTCTGCATCCACACACACAGATGCATGCTCCTCAGGTATCCAAATATAATCCTAGAATTTCATCACTTTGGTGGTCTGTTAGCACAGTGACCTCACAGCACACATGTCTTGGGTCACATGAAGGCTCCAACAGCACAAGCACGGTTCAAGCAAAGCTAGCAGCCACAGCCGTTAGCATGGTAGTCTGACTCAGGTTTGGAGCCAGCTTCTAGTGGACATCAGAGGAACTGCAGGCTCACCATTCACTCCATGTTTCAGCGCTGAGTGTGAAGCAGCAGTCTGACGGGATGCTGATCGGGATTTACTGGGATTCAGTGTTAAATAATTGTGCTGCCACACAGTCATGGAAACCTGCTGTCATCAGGAAAAGAGCAGAAGATGATGTTCGCTCTGTAAAAGCTCAGTTTGCTCTGCTATAGCTTTGCTTTGCTCTTTACTGCAGCAGTCATAATTACAGTTATTAAAGAATGGGTGGCACACACTCTGAACACACTTTTAACTGTGTGTAAGTGCTCTGAAACCAAGAAAACATCCCAATGAGGACCTGTGTGCACGCTGACAGAGATCCAAACCAGATCTGGTGTCCCGGCCTCCCAATTGTTTTTTTAACACGTTTACACTCAGATCTGAAGTTTCATCTGAGGAGAGCAGAAACAGCCAGAGCTGCTTTTCAAAGCAGAGCAGGCGCTTAGGAAAACTAATCGACACACAGCGCGGAGACAATAATGCAGTTAGCAGCATCTAATGAGGCCAGGAAGTCATTACCCAGCAGATGATGGATCTGCTGCTCTCTGATTGGGTTAGTGTCAGTCACAGCACCGAGCCATCTGATTGGTCCGGGCCCAGTCGGCGGTGGAGGACAGAGGTCTTCCTGGATGTCTGTGTCTGAGTATTACGGCGATGTTCTCACCTTGGTCCTGACAGGTTCGAGTCTCTTTGTGGTTTTAGCTCGGTGGGGTTTTCTGGAGTCTTACTCAAGGTTCGAGTCACAGTCCCATCCACCCTGACCTCCATCCTACCTACCTCCTTCTACTGCACGTGATCCAGGATACAAACTTTTAGCATAATGAACGGGAGTCCTAATTCAGACTCGTGTTGCAAAGTGAAATTCTTCCAGTTTTAAGGAGTGAAGGATTAAATCTGGCTGAGGCTGGGGAGGTGGCGAGGACGCAAAAGAGCAGCTTCTCAGTCGTTTCCAAGCCTTCAGAATAAAGTAGAGTTAGTGAGGATACCTGCTCTTTGATATGAAAAGGAAATAAAGTGCAGAACACCTGAGTTACGTCTCTGCTTCCTCACCTGTGCACGCAGGCCTGATGATGTTTTCCAGAAAAATACCTGCACGTGTTAAACGGAGCGTCACAGTTTTATGTTTTACAGTCCGACTGCTCCCGGGTTTCATGTTTTCCTGCACACGGTTTTAGCAGCAAAGGCAGCTGCCTGGTCTCTGCTGTTCACAAATGAAGTGCAATCGTGGTGAGATGTGCTGTGCTGCTGTTTAACATCCTTCAGCCTGCTTCACTTTGTCACACAGCTTCTGTTTAACTGATTTATAATCAGCAGGTCTGAAACAGAAAAAAAGAGGTTAATCACAGTGAATGTGTGATTTCATGGGGGGGTAAGGACTTTTTCACACAGAGCAGGTAGGTTAGTCAGCACTACAGAAAAAAACAACACGTGATAAAGGTGTTTAAAAATATAGACTTTTTTCAACCACCACTAGAGGGCGCTGCTCCTTGAACATGAACAGAGGTTTTGTTCTCCTGTGTGTAAATACTTTTAGAGAAAACTTCAAAACAGACCAGTTTTGCTTTTTATGATTTTTTTAGGTCTTGTTATTGTTGTAACTTTAATATGTTTGTCAGAAACACGTCTAACCCTTCCTGTATAAATAAAGGTTACATAAAAAAATCTGACTGCTGTGTGTGTGTGTGTGTGTGTGTGTGTGTGTGTGTGTGTGTGTGTGTGTGTGTGTGTGTGTGTGTGTGTGTGTGTGTACAATAATCATTTCCTATACATGCCTGTTTTTGATAGATGGAAGAAAATGAGTGATGGAGGTCAGACTAAACAGTTCACAGGTGCTTCACCCTGCGTGACCAGCAGGTGGGGCTGCTGCGCCGCTGCTGCAGAGGAAAATGTGAGACAGCCAGTTCCTGCGCCCAGGAAGTATGTTTACTGAGAAACACAGAGAGTATGATGTGAAAAGCCCTGACTGAAGAAACATGGATGACTTTCTACCACGATTATGATATAATATCCTCACAGGAAACAGATGCAAACATTAAAGAGAAATAAACTGCGCAGAACAAAACAAAGAGTAAACATCCTGGTAATAAAACTTCATTAAAACCTTGAGATAGCACGGTGGCATGGGGGGCAGCACTGTTGCCGCACAGCAAGAAGGTCCTGAGGTCAATTCCAACACCAGGCCGGGGTCTTTCTGTGTGGAGTTTGCATGTTCTCCCCGTGTTTGCGTGGGTTCTCTCCGGGTACTCCGGCTTCCTCCCACCGTCCAAAGACATGCAGTTAGTGGGGATAGGTTGACTGGATAATCCAAATTGCCACTAGGTGTGAATGGTTGTCTGTCCCTGTGTGTTAACCCTGCGACAGACTGGCGACCTGTCCAGGGTATACCCCGCCTTTCGCCCTATGACAGCTGGGATAGGCTCCAGCGCCCCCCGCGACCCTGAAAAGGAGAAGCGGAAGCGAATGGATGGATGGATGAAAACCTTGAGATAATGCTCATCAGACATGAGAGAAAAAAAGACTTTCATATTCTAGGGAAATAGAAACTGATACTGTGCTGGAGGGCCTTTTCTGGTCCACGGGTCGGTGTTTGGACCCCAGCAGACGAGCAGGAAGTCAGGAACAGTCTGATGCGTTTGACTGTGTCACATCCCCCTCTAGTGGCTGTTTTTTAGTCAATGCATCCACTTACAGAGCTAAAAGTAGAAACAATAGAAACACATTGGAACAGACGAGTTTGGAATACAGAAAACAGCAGAACTCCGAGTCCTCCGGCCTCCAGCTGTGAGACGGCGACAGCTGCTTTTCTATCAGTCTATCAATAGATCAATCAGTCTATTAATCGAGCCATCTCTCTAAAGTAAGGTTACAGTTGGCTGTAACGACCCTGAACAGAAATATCAAACTGGCCCCGTCTCAAACCAGGAACACCACATCAAATATAGAAATGCAATAGGTACCTCAGTTTTGTTGATGGACCACTTCCTGTGGGTGGTGGAGGCCACAAGTCCCGCCCCCAGGATCAAATGGGTCTCCAACACCTGGCTCCTGGGGTCACTCGGGGCTGACGGTGCAGAGGCCAGGCTTGTTTCACTTTTTGTGTCGCCCCGTCTTCATTCATCACCCTCATGTTTCCTTTTTTCACTTCCTGTTTCCTCTCTTTCTTCCCTCCTCACCTATGCAGTCTCCACCCGTGTCTGTGTCCCTCCTTTCGGTCATGGGTACAGCTGTCCACCACTTTTCTGGGATTGCTGACCTCTCAGATCCTCGTCTGCCTCACAGTCACCTACCGTCAGTGTCCCTCATGAACCCGGACAGATGATGTAGCTGTTGTTAATCTCTGTGTGGAAACTGCAGATTCACACAGACTACAAACACGTGAAGGAGAAAGAAAGAAAAAGCAAGGAAGACGAACGAACAGATTATAAGCTGTGTTTGTTTCAGGAGCTAGCGTGAGACCGTGCTGGAAGTTTCCTGTGTGTAATAACAACTTATTGCTACCAGGCTAAGACCTATAACAGACCTATAACAGCTACGGGTGCTTTCTAAGGTTCCATAGAGCCCCTGTAACATTTTACTCAGACATTACCCAGCCACTGATGAAACTCTGCCCCCTGCTGCTGAAAGCTTTAATTACAATTTGCGGGGTAATTACAAAAAGGGGCTTTAACAGCTGAGGCCAAGGGCAGGAAAATATGAAAGCCTGAACAATAACTGTGCATGACGACATCATAAAATGAAGAAGCACCTCAGATTTGTTTCCCGTTTGGCTTCTGTGAGTTTATTCTGTGGTCACATTCCTCCACGGAGTTATTTATTCGTTTCTCTGGAAGCAGGAGAAAAGGGGCCTCCTCTTCCTTTTCCTCCACAAAGTGCAACAGTCCGGCGGGTCCAGCAGCGAGCAGCCGAACGTGGAGGCTGAAGGGCGGCGTGCTGCGCGGAGCTGGTCGGTAACACAACAACACAACAAAGTGCTCCGCTCCGCCGCCGAGTTTCACGGTGTGTGTGTGTGTGTGAGACTTTCTCTCCATAGAGTTTCACTGAGTTTACATCCGGGTTTTTTCCCTAGGCAATGGGAGTCGCAGCACCGCCGTTCCTTAGGCAAAGTGAAATAAATTCGCCGCACCGACACAAAAAGTAGTCCGCTTCCCGAACACATCCCCCCCGCGCCTCGCCTCGCTCATCGGCCCGATTTAACGAACTTTAACGGCCATAAGGACCGACATCGACCGCTCCCCGGCGGATAAGCGAGCTCCCGCCGGAGCCGCGAGGAGTTTTTGTGCCCCTTCGTCCAGCTCCGCGGCGCAGGGATCTGTGATGTGCTGAGGCTGAGCTGAATGAGATTGAAGAAGAGTTCTTCTTGTTTTGTAGCTTCAGTTTCTCTCTTTTTACACAATTTCCACTAAAAGTCACCCCGAAACACGACAGCTGGGTCCAGCCCCGCGGGGAGGAGGCGGCCGGGCTGTGTGTGCGCCTCTGTTTCACCGCGGATCGGCTTCTTACACACATATATATTTAATTAATCCAGAGGAGGACTGCTGCTGAGTAAGTGCACATTGGGCTTTTTAATTTCATAACTTTAATTTTCCCTGCTGTCAAACTTTACGCGTCTCCTGCGGCCGCCCGTGGTCGAGTGTCTGCGGCTCTTTGCGGGCAGGTGTGCGGGGCTGTCGGCCGGTGTGTGTCCGCTGTGTTCCCGTGTGTTTCTGTGTGTTTAGCTGCTCTGTTTCTTATTCTAGGAGTTGATATTCTGGAGGACAAGGGGCCGATGTAACTTGGACCCACCGACGCCTGCTCGCTGTCAGGGCTTTTTTTCTTGACTCTTGTAAAAAGATGGCGTCTTTCGGGACTGTTGGAGCCCGATTCGAGCCGTGCCCCCGGCCCCTGCCGCCCCTCGGCCGCCGTGTTTTTTTTTTTTTATCTTTGATGGAAGTTGTTATCAGCGTGGCTGCTGGCTGCGTTAGCTCCGCGCGGCTAACAGGATGGTTAGCATTAGCGGCTACGGCTAACGTTATCCACTTGTTCTCAGCCTCAGACGGAGCAATGTCGGACGGTTTTTTTCACACCGAAACACCGAAAAACAGCCCGTAAACCGCGACGGTTCTCCCAAACAGGCGGCCGGGGGGCTCTCCGAGGGGGGACCGAGCGTCCACAGGGCCGCAGAGGCTTAATAACACGGTTATAAAACATTAATTTGTCTGCCCGAAACAAAAACCCACTTTTCAGTGTTTGAACTCCCGCAGCAGCAGAAGAAGAAGCACTTGGCGGCTTTCATCTTGAAACCCTCCATTTTAGCTTCATTTCTTCCCTTTTTGGGCCCTCTGCGGAGGCACGCGGGGCTGCTCGGGGAAGTTTATCCCGACAACTTGGCGTCCCACCCGGGGAGCAATTACTCCAATTAACCGGCGGCCTCCGCAGCCCGCTAACAGCCGCCGAGCACCTCCGCTCAGGTGCTGCACGTATGGACGCTTCTCAGGTGGACCGGGACCCCCCACCCCAACACTACAGGTCCCAGTACTCAGGGCCCCCAGCTCGCGCTGCAGGCTGGAGCACAAAGTACTTTTACTCATCGCTTATGCTGTACTACTGTACCTCGGGGTGGGATAGAAGTACTCGAGTATTTTTGCTTTCTGTTGCTTTAAATGTGTCCTGCAGTAAATTTAGACGTGTACTAACTAAAAACACCAAACAGTAAGTCACAGTACTTTGTTTCAGGATGTAACAGTTACTTTTTTATTAATAAGTAATGCACTACTGCTGTAAGCAAGGGCTGTTTAAAGTACTCGGTTAATAGAAGTATTCAAGTGTTTCTGTTTTCACTCCGTGTGTACTAACGAAGCCTTTTTAACAATGTACTACAGTAAATCAGAGTACTTTGTTTCATATTCCAGACTGGTAAAGTACTACTTTATTCATTAGTTATGCAGCACTACGAAGTGCAGTTTAAAGTACTTTGAAAGTGAAAGTACACAAACATTTTTATTTTCACTCTAGTAAATTTCAGACGGAAGTACTGCAGTAATGAAGCTTTTTTTAAACAAAGTACTTCAGTAGGATCTAATTCAAAGTACTTTTTTAATAATTAGTAATACAGTAGTATAGTTTTGGACTTGGAAAACTGTTGTACTACACTTCAGAGGGACACACTGCAGTAATGAAACGTGTACAACACAGACCCTCGTCCTGTGGTACACAGTGCTCTTTAAAGTACTTTTTCATGTGTACTGCTATATCTAAGTGCAGTTTTAAAGTATGTAGATAGTAGACATATTCAAATGTGTACTAATGAAGCTTTTTAACAATGTACTACAGTAAATCAGAGTACTTTGTTTCACATTTCAGACTATAGTACAAAGTAGCTTTTATGAACTAGTAATAAAGTACTACTAAGTACAGTTTTTAAGTATTTTGATAGTTGAAGTACACAAAAATCCTTATTTACATTCTGAAGTAAATTTCAGAGGGAAGTACTGCAGTAATGAAGGTTTTTAAATACAGTCAGAGTACTTTGTTTCAGGCTGCAGTATAAAGTTGTTTTTACCAGTAAGTATAAGTACTATTTCTGGGTACTTGGATAATAAAGGTTAATGATTACATTTTCTAGTACTTCAAATTTGTACTCCACAAGATTTAAAGAGTAAATGTACTGTACAAACCAAACTTTTTGAATAGAAAAGAGTAACTGGGAGTACTTATCGTGGGATCAGGCTGTAGTTTGTAGTACTGAAATACATTTGTTACAGTTTTTATCAAGTTTAAGGTATTTGTAAAATGGAACTGCAGTACTATTTACATTTCTGGTACCTTAAGCGTGTACTAAGCGAAGTGGTGGATTCATGAGTAAACCAAAGTACTTGTCCCATGTTATAGACTGCAGTTTAAAGTACTTTGTAATGCAGTACTACAATGTATAAGTACATTTTTGAATGACCTGGACCATGGAGTACTTTGGTGTTTATTTGTCCTCTTGTGTACTTGTACTTAAACTATAAGATGGAAGTAAGTCTTTTTTACTAATTAGTACTACAGTACTACTACTTCTAACTAAAGTTTGAGGTACTGTACATGTACTGCTCTAGACTGCATTTCAAAGGGAAACTTTTTACTACTGAATACTGCAGTTTTAATAGTTGTATGTACTCATAAAACAGATGTACCTGAGTATTAGTATTTTTTGTTACTCTGTTCTTGTATTCTACAAGAGTTTTGTTACTGCAGGTACTTACAAAATACACAGTACAAAAGTACTTTGAGTCCCTTTGTCTCAGGTTTCAGGCTGTGTTTAAAGTACTTTTAACAGAGTACTACTGAACTTAAATACGTGTTTGAGCTGCTCAGAAACTGGAAGTACTTCAGTTTTATTCTCTTAGTACTACTAAAGCTTTTCAGTGACGGTTGTATAATGCAGTACTTTCCCCTGTTTTTAGTTTTCAAGTACTTGAAAAGTAGATTCCTCGCATACTAATACTGCATAGAGATACTTTACTCCAGTAGGAAGTACATGCACCTGAATGTTTTAGACACAAATCAGAGTAATACTTTAAACTACAGCACAGAAAATCACAGTACTTCATGACTCAGGTGTTGAGTTTTGGACACGAAGTACTTTCTACTAAATTAGTAAGACGGCACTGCTGCATCTTGTGTAGTATTGAAGTACTTGGAAAACAGGTCTAGTGGTTAAATCGTGTACTTTTAAAAACAACAAACCGGAGTACTGCGAGCCACTTACAGTACGCTCGATTCAGCAGTACTACATGTATTTAGTTTATATGTTTATGTACTTGGAAAAAAGCATCCGAGTACACGTCTGTCTGTGCTTTACAGTAATGATGTAGTATTTTTCTCTAGGCTAATAATAATATGTACTTCAAAATAGTTAAGTACTATAGTTATGGTACTTTTTCCCTCTGAATGAGTTTACATGTAGTATGTACTAATGCAGTACTTCGTAGTATTAATGGAGTTGGTTAAACTTGAAGGAAAGTCAAAGTACTTTTTGTTTCACTGCAGTTTTTGTGTAATTACAGTTTTTAAAGTACAACACAGGAAATCAAAGTACTACTAAGGAAAAGTACTTCACGCCACAGCCTGAAACTCAGTACACGAAGCTAAAATACTCTGTTTATTCTTTTAAAAGTACTTTTTACTGCACTAGTTTCAGCTTTCAGTCTTTCAACCATAAATCTGAGGATTTGAAAACAGGAAGTACTTGAATAGTTTTTCTCACATAGTAGTACTACTACATCATCAGAGCAGTTTTGAGGTACTTTACTACTTATTTTTCACTACTTGATACTATGTTTCAGATTAGGGCTGTGCGATATGACCACAATCTCATATCCCGATATAAAACATCTGTCGTCCCGGTAACGATATAAATCACAAAAATGTAACATTTTCTGTAAATTCTGTGAATCTCGGGCAGCTCGACCTGCGTGAAGTGTTTCCAGCTGGGCGTCCTGTAGCTGCAGTCGAGTGTTTTAACGATGCATGAAACGACACATTTTTAGACATAAGTTGTAACGGCGCCGTTTTCTTTGTGAGTATTTATCACACGGCGTGCTGCGGGGAGAAGCCTGTTCTAACGTCTGAGTCTAAGGTTTATTTTTTAGCACCTGACAGCTCTTTTTTACTTCTCATCCGTAAATAATCTGCTCTTTCACGTGATTCAGTTTATTTTGAAAAGTCTCAACAGGATCTTGAGCTTTATTGTGAAAGGTTTATGTGGAACTTAAACAAGCCGACACGCGATGGTGTTACCATCAACAGGCGCTTGTCCGTCCGTAGTGTGGTTATATTAAATATAAGAGAAAGAGAGAACTTTAAGAACACAGCCACTACAATGACATCCAAACATGAACAAATATCGCCGTAAACAGTTTATTTTGCGACACCACGAAACAAACGACAGCGTAAAATGAAACAGATGTTTTTATATCAGCCCTACTTCAGAGGATTATGTAGTACTAATTAAGCTTACAAAATACCATCACAATCACTCAAAGTACTTTGAGGTGCAAGCTGGAGCCTATAATACTTGTGTGTACTTACAGTGAAAGTACTTGTGCACTTCTTTCTTTTCTTTTTATTCTAATGAAACTTCAAAAATGTAAAAATGAAGCAGTCTTTGTGTTTTATGCACTTTATTTTGTAGCTTTTACAGTTTTTATGAGTACTTCGGTACTTCATTTGTCTGCAGGTTACGGGCTGGGGTGTGAAGTACTCGAGTATTTCCATTTCTTTGTACTCCTGAGTACTTTTTCCTGATGTGCTGCTCACGTTAACCCCAAACAGCATTCAGAGACATGATGCGGCTGTTTTTCCTTAACTTCTTCCGTGGATTCGTCATAAATAATAGATCATCTCAGGACCCTGGGTGTATTTCTGGCGACACTTTGAAGGGCCCTGACCCTTATGTTAGTTCCTGTTTCTGGTGTTTTTAGTTTAAAGAATGTTTTTTGTCTCACTGATGCAAAGACATGTAAATGTTGGCATCCACACAGCAGGGGGCGCTGCAGGGGCAGGGATGAGCTAACAGGCTGGTGATGCAACACATTATTATGATGATGATCTTCTCTGAATGATTTTCTTTGTGTTTTTGAGAAAAATGTGTCGGTTTATTCTTTTGTTTCCTCTCCAGCAGAGAAACACGAGCGAGTACTGCACAGGGCTCGTTCTTAATGCTCCTCTTTGGTGTGTCACATGACCTCTGAATCACTGTGGGCAGTGTGACCTGATCAGGTTTGGCTCACATGTGAAAGTTTTATGGAGCAAAGAAAAACAAACCCAAACTGTCAAATAATAAAAAGAATCATCTTAAAACGTGAACAGCAAACAAACTGAAAGCTTCAGAAAACATCAGCAGATGGTAGAAAGGTGAGGACGTACAAATCGAGTCCACAAACGTGTGTTTTATTTTGAAGGAGTTGTGCTGGCTCAGGACTGATCGCTGTTAGAATAAAGACGTCTTTATTTAAAGTCTCCTGAACACACTGGGCCTGTAATGTGTGCGTTTGCTGTGTGTTGCAGGGCAGCACAGAGGGGTGGAGTCCGGTCCCACAGCCAGGTGGTGAGTGCTGTTATGCTGGAGTGTGAGGCTCATTAATGCTGATGTGAATGAAGTGTTTGATGTTTGGGCGCGATGAAGCTCGGAGCCTGTTTGTGTGTAATGAACAGCTTCAGGTGAGGTCACCTGCCCTGTAGTCATCCGTGTGTCTGTGCCTCGTTTCCTCTGCAGCACCACTTTAATGCTTCAGTTGGATGGTTTTCCTACTGGAGACAGTGTTCAGGTGAGAGCACACACACACAGGTGTGGTAAGTGTAGCCCTGAAACACCAGCGTCTCACCTTTCTGTGTGTGTGCGCGCAGGCTGATCGATCGGCTGGCAGACTGACTGGATCCATGATGGAATTACAGACGTTACAGGAGGCCCTGAAGGTGGAGATCCAGATCCATCAGGTACGCTGTGGGCTCAGCTGTTTCCTGTCTTGGCCGCTCGCTCTTCTTTTTCAAAGTTCAGCGTCTGCATGAACACACTGAGGCAGGACACTGAGTAACGCTGCATAACACAGCCTGCTCCCTTTACTACAAATACATGCGGATCGAATCAGGAGGCAACAGGTGGGGTTTTTACAGCAGCCTGAGGAATAATTCTACTGTGAGTTTAAGTAGTTTCACAGGAAAAACAATGTTTCCACGGTACATCGTTAGTTCATGTAAGCAGATTAAAAAGTGGATTCATTGTTATTTAATATTCATTATGTTGATGTTCAGTCAGTCCTTTCTTTACCACCATAAATGTGACACCGTAATGTCGGAGCAGTCGCACTTTTTGGGCGGAGTAAACCACTCTGAAAACTGCAGCACGCTTACAGTGTAGAAATATTGTTTTTTCCACAAGATAAACAAGAAATAACACAATACTAATAATATACTAATATTACTGTAATAACTACCTGAAGTTACGCATCGCTTAAATTCATCTACAGTCTAATTATTTCTTTGTTTCCTGGGAAAACCTGACCTGTTACCTCCTAGTGTAGCTGACGTGTGGAGGTACATATAAGTGCATTATAATCCCAGTAAAATAAAGTGCAACTCTAGTAGGGGAGTAAGGGGTGAAGCCACATTCAGTCTGCAGACTGTGAGGCCTGCAGTGGGCTGTGTTTTAATGGAGCCTAAATCTGGTTTTCACCCTGAAAACGTGGATGTCTGCTGTACTAAATGAAGTGATGAACAAGCTGAAAATGTTCATAGTGTGATGGTAAACAGGAAAAAAAGAAATCAGGGTCAGGTGTGGTCTCTTTTTCTGTTTTCATTAGTTTATTTAGTTCATATATGATCCTTATCAAAGGACGCGCGTCCGTCAGAGCGAGCGCTGCTCTGTTTCGGGTGCAGTTCCCTGTGATGACCAGCAGGTGTCAGCGTGATCTGTGTTGTCTCTCTTCTTTCTGCAGAAACTGGTTGCTCAGATGAAGCAGGACCCTCAGGTAAGGTCCAAGCTCTTATTTCTTATCAGCACCTCTGAAGCTTCAAACTTTTCAGACGTTTTTTTCATGGCATTTGTTTTTTGTTAGAACGCAGATCTGAAGAAGCAGCTCCACGAACTTCAAGCAAAGATCACAGCGCTCAGCGAGAAGCAGGTATTCAGCTTTGTGCTAACGAGCTCGTGTCCGTGGGCTCGTTGAAAGCGTGACCTTCTGTGATATTAGAGGCTGAGTTCACCGAGCTGTCGTTTCAAACAAAGAAACGTGAGCTCAGAGCGCTTCAGCTTCACAGCGGTAGGAGTGACACGCTCCGAGGCCAAAGCTCAGCGCAGTGGTACAGTCTCACCTCATGAGCTTACATCATTCTGATATCAAACATTATTAATGAACGACACAGAACAGCCAGCAGTGGCAGAGACAGCGGTGCACGTTTGTGTCTTTGACTTGTTTTGCATCATTGTCACTTTGTGACTGGGTCGCTCTCTTTCATGAGCTTCGGTGGTCATTCGTTTCTTCCTCGTGGCTGTTTGACTCTGTGTTTGGGGTCTTTCTCTATGGCTTTGTTTGGTGTCTGGCGTTCATAATAGTCCCTGTGATATATGGATCAGATGAGCGTGTTACGTCACGTCTGTAGTCTCTTTGTCTTCTGTTATTTTTGAACACTTTCATCGTGCCTCCTATTTTTATCTGCTCCCTGCGTGTTTCTCGCTGTGTTTGTTCTGCGTGTGAAACATTTTGTGCTCGCTGCTTCGACATCGTGCAGAATTAAAGAAGACGTTGTTGGATAAGAGTTTGTGCAGACTGAAGTGTGCTGAGATGATGTCGAAGTCGGGATTAGCTCAGATTATTGTGGGGAAACAGAAAGCCGTGCGCGTATTTGTGCAGGCGGGCATCTTGCGTAACCACAGATGACTAAAGTCGGTTTCAGAGAGTCGGCAGATTAGTCTCGCGCTGAGCTCGGCTCCCACCTGATGATAAACTGCCTCAGTGGGAATATGAGCCGGAGCGTGAGGGGTGGGCTCAGAGTAACAGTCTGAAGGAAGTTCAAAAGAAGAAATGTAGGTGATTTCCTGCTCCTGCTTCTTCTTCTTGTAATTAAACTGGCAGCCGTGCAGCTGCTCTCATGGCCTCTTTGATTCTGGGGAAAAGGAGCGAGATTTTTTTTATTGCACTTTTTCTTTCATTCAGATGTGCTGGGAAAAAGTGCATGACCCTTGACCTTTTTTTTTAGAGCGTGCGCCTCACCATCACACGCTGATGTCATCACGCCTGAACCTCCCGAGTCGCAGGCCGAGAAAGACTGAGTTAAACAGGAAGTGTGTGTTTTTGGAATCGGACCTGTGAAAGCAGAAGTCTTGTGAGATTAAACGTCCCTGTGCGGCGGCGGCAGTTGAAGTGCTGCACGTTATTGGCAGAAGGTCAAACAGTTCTCTGAAAGCAGCGCCGCCACTTTCCTCCTCCTCTGTGTTTCTCTGCTTTCTCTCTCGCGGCGTCCTCATTGTGTTTCACTCCATTAAGTTCCTGCTTCTGAGTCGACTGTTGCTAAGCAACAGATGGGCTTTATCCTCCGACTGAGAATTCAGTCGCCAGTGTGTGCGTGACCTCCTGAGCTCCACCCCTTTCTTCTTCTGCTTTTCATTCTTTTTGCTTCTTTCACTTATTTCTCTTTTGCCCCTCCCCCTCCTCCTCGGTCATGCAGAGATGCTTGGGTACTTATTTGTACTTATTTGTACTTATTTGTACTTATTTTCACAGTAACTTTTCTAAATTAAATGATCACATGAACAATCACCAGTTAAAAAACACACTTTTTATATGAGTCCGCCCCAAAGTAAAGTTTAAAAAGCTTTTTTCCTCTGAGAGTCGACCCTCTGCCTCCACACCCTTCAGCCCCCCCCCCCATTATATCGTTTGTTCCATACTTTGTTTCAATAAAGCTTTTTTGAATGGAGAAGTGGCGCCTGCTGCGGGAATAATGTCCTGTGCTCTCGCCTGCAGAAAAAGGTGGTGGAGCAGCTGAGGAAGGAGCTGCTGGTGAAGCAGGAGCCGGAGGCCAAGCTGCAGCTGCAGGTCCAAACTCCTCCAGGAGGAGGAGACATCAAGCCGGCCAACCCACTGCAGAGCCAGCAGATAGCTGGAGCGCTGCAGCAGGTATGAAAGCCGCCGCGCCGTTTACAGGATGACTTAAAATCCGACTGTCTTTAAATGTGTCGTGGGTTAACTTCTCCCTCCACAGACGCTGACAGTGACGCCGGTCCTCACCACAAAGACGCTGGTGCTGAAAGCTGCCCCCGGCACCGTCCTGCCGCAGCGCCCGCCCACCGTCGCTATGGTAACCACAGCTATCACCAAACCCGACTCGCAGAACGCCCCCATCAACCTCCAGGTGGCCGGCAAGCTGACCAATCAGAGCTCGGAGCCCATGCGGCTGGTGTCCAAGAACGCCATGGTGGTAAGTGTGCTGTCGGTGCGATCTGTTCGAGCTCAGGAGACGCTTCAGACTGCCGCCTGCTGACCCGCCTGCGTGCGCTCTCACACGACTCTGTTTCTCTGAAAGCGCTCGAGCGGGCTGTGGCGGCAGCGGCAGCTTCTAGCATCTCCCTCTGGGGGTCAGTTCCCCTCACAGAGGCGCATGATTGCAAAAAGAACACGTCACGACACGACTGAGGGTTTTCCAGGTGGTTTTCCACCGCGGGAACATCTCTGTGCCCGTTCCTGGGCCGCCAGACACAACAAAGTACCACCTCTGGGCGTGGGTAGGTACTTCCTGGGCGGGCCTCGATGCTGATGGGGTAAACTGATCACAGCGAGGGCCATCTTTAAAAACATGTCAGGTGAAGAAGAGCAGAGCAAAGGGAAAAAAGCTTAAAAGTCAGAAACGGAGCGATCGAAATGACGAATCGTAACACAGCAGGTCGTTTTTAAATTGTTCTGCAGCCGTCGTTCTCTGAAACACTTCTGCAGCTTTGCCTTACCTTTAAACATACACTAGTTTTAGCAGCGTGGACAGGGTGTAACAGCACGACCACCTGAGGTCTGCTAACCACCGTGATTAAAATACTGCACAGAAGACAGAAACGAGCGCAGCTGTCGAACAGCGCTGACGTGAACAGAGTTCAAACTTGGAGGTGAGGCTCGTGTTTCAGGTTTCAGGGCAGGGTCCGGTTTGCTTCAAGTGTTGGCCTCTGCTTTGGATGCGGGAACTGACAGAGGTCACAGTGTTCTGCACACGGTTCAGTGTTCCATCTGAAGGACTCTGAACTTTTCCTCCCAGGAATCTTTTCAAGGAAAAGACTGGAGACAGCTCGCTGACACAAACACCTGGATGTTACAAAGTATCAATGTTCCTCTGGATGTAGCGACGTCGCTACATCCAGAGGAACATTGATACTTTGTTATAGTTTTTGAGAAACATTTAGCCAATAAGAGTAAATGTATGTTTACAGTACGGTGCTGGGATGGGGCATGACTCCATGAGCTCTAAAAAGTAGATCTGGGTTTGTACCAACCCCGAAGTTTATGAGCGTTTCACTGGCGAACAGCACCGGACCGATTTTGGTCCCTGGAGGGTTCCTCGTTCCTGCGGTGCAAAAGCAGCTGCTCTGTGCCAGTTCTCCATCCTGCTCCCTCGGCAGAGCCCACAGGTGTGTGATCTACCTGCTGTAAAGCCCGCGTGTTCTCAGAGTTACTTACTCCCACGCTCTGCTGTCAACGCTTGGCGACGCGTCCCGAACCGAGCGCAGCAGACGTGTCGGTCAGATGTCAGCAGCACAGATCCACAATCTGCTGTGGTTTTGTCTCAGGTGCAGGCCGCCGCCCAGCCAATCAAAGTTCCTCAGTTTGTCCCGCCTCCTAGACTGACGCCTCGACCCGCCTTTCAGCCACAGGTGCGTCACTGTGAGACCCGCCTCTGAACCCTAACCCCCTCAGATCAGTGTGTGTGGCCCACCCGACGTGGCGTGCTCACTCTCCAGCAGAGGGCGGGAGCGCACCGAAGCAAACGCTCATGCCTTGCTCCGTGGCACTAAAACATTGTTTTCTGTGTGCTGCCTCTTACTCATCACTTCTCCTCTCGTTGTGCTTCTTTTAATTTCCCGACTGACCTGTGAGCAGGTGTTTTTGGAGGTTTCCTGCCTGTGTACCAGTGTCTTTTACCTTTCTTTGGTCAGAGCTTGTTTCCTGCAGCTTCTTGGTATTTTTGTGTTTCTGGCTGTCGGTGTGTTTTAACCCTTCCACTGGAGGAACGTGGGCGGTGTTTGTGCTGAGTAACGCCACCGGGAGCTCGGGCTCAAACATCAGAGTTAGGCCTCAGAAGTCGTCCTACCAGGAGCAGCGTTTGTCTGTTAGCTCAGAACAAATACTCGAGTACTTCTGTATGAAGTTTGAAGGGTTGGGCTTATAAAACTATTAAATATTGTTAACAATATTACGTTTTGTTTTTTTCCCTCCACCAATCACGTTTGACCTTATTGGTGATTTTTTTTTTAATCTAATGTGTTTTTGCATTTTTAATAAGTCTAAACGATTCGTGTCCTTTCTGCCCTGCCAGCACATCGTTACTGTTAGAGTTTAATGACAAAATGCTTTATAAAACATTAAAGCTTTGCAGTGCCTGTACCTCTGAAGCCCCGCCCCCTGTCTCACTCTGAAGGGCTCATCTCACCTTATTCCCTGAGAGTGACCTGTAGGTGTGGTTAAAGACTGGGACTTTGGAGGCGGGGCTTGTGTGGTAGCAGAGCTGGCACTGCTGTATGATGTGGTGTATCTGTCTTTTTTGATTTAATACATAAAAATAAATGAGCTAATGTTTGTAACATTCCTCTGCTTCAGCAGTAGCAGTAAAGGTAGGCTCAGTCAGGCTGAGGTAGAGCTCCACAGTGGCGTTACCTGCAGTATCAGGTCATTTTTGTGCCGATTTGTGATTGGCTGTGTGTCGTTATCAGGTCCGGCCAAAGTTGGCCACGCCCACCAATGTCCCTATCGCACCGGCCCCTCCCCCACCCATGATGGCAGCCCCCCAGTTGCTGCAGCGGCCCGTCATGTTGGCCACCAAGCTCTCGTCCTCGCTGTCGTCGTCGGCGCCCATCCACCAGGTCCGCATCGTCAACGGCCAGCCCTGCAGCAAGACCGGTGCCGCCCCGCTGACGGGCATCGTCATCACCACGCCAGTCTCCGCTGCACCCACCCGCCTCGCCAGCCCCGCCCAGGTGCCCCTGCCCACCCCCGTCCCCACTCAGACTCCGGTCCAGCCGATCCAGATCAGCAGCCTGACCACTGAGCCCAAGGTAAGGTCCTGCGTTAGTACTGCACTGTTTAGCACAGCAGGATCTGAAATATTTTAATCGTGGTCTTAGATCTTCCTTTTTACTTTCAGAAACCTTTGGATAGTTTTGTAGTTCTGATGTTTAAACAATAAGGCGATGACCGTAAAGATTTAAAGGTGGCGCTCGTGTGCCGCGGCTCCTCCGACACGCTGTAAAGGGCTGTGTCCAGCGCTGAAAGGTTGGATATCAGTTTTAGTTCATTTACAGGTTATGTGCCAGTATAGCACCCCCCTGTGGTGATTCAGGTAACTACAGCACTGAAACGAACAGGCCTCTCAGACTTCAGCAGGGTCTGTTTTTGCCTCTAAAAGTACTGAAGTGGTTTATAAAGCTGGTGTCTGTATAGACGAGGAGAACCTCACTAATGATCTGCTTTTAAATTCGCACGTTTAAATTCTGCTGCTGTGACGGTTAAATCTCTGCGCTGCTTTCCCGACAGCGGTGATCAGAGGAAACGTACCTGCTCTCCGGCCCGAGCATCGGGCAGCTGGACGCTCACAGCTTGTTCTGGTATCGTTAGTATGTTAGAATTGATGATTAGTCAGCGCTGCAGAGCTGCGTGCGGGGCGTCGTCTGCTCGTGTCTTACTGTCACACCCTCTGAAGGTCCCGTGTTTGCAGCTGATGGGTTCTTACTGGAGTCTGGACGCCTGTTCGACCCTCGGGTCTTTGAACGATGGCGCTGTGTCACATTGGTCCGTGTTATTGAAGGAGGCCGTGTGGAGGCCTCTGCTTCTTTCTTCAATGAAAAACAGAAAATAGAAATAATGAAAATATAAAGGAATGTTCTCTTCTGTGACTTAAGCTCGCCGTCTTCGTCTCGTCTTCTCTCAGCAGACTGTTAAACCGGGAGGAACAGAGCAGCACGCCGTCGTCAGCCTCCCGTCCTCCTCCTCAACCGCTCCTGTGTCTCCTCCTCCCAGGCCCCTCAAGAAAGAGGAGAACCCAGAGGTATGACCCACAGAGGGACACACAAGTCGTGTATTTTCTAGCACAAATCACTGAACCCTTTCTCTGTCATCACACGTTTCACCTGCAAATTCTAGATATTAATATCTTTAAGTAAATGTTATTGTTATTAAAACATATTGTTATTATATTGTAGTTCAAACGTACACACACAGGCTGATGTTATGAAAGAAGATAAAGGCGCACGATGTTCCCAATGATCCAAAACCCCAGAAAAAGCTGTTTACCAAACTTTTATTTATGCAGCAGTCGCCTCAAGGTGTTTTATATTATTAGACCCTAAAATAACCCAGAGAAACCCAACAATCATATGACCCTATGAGCAGCTCTTTAGCGACAGTGGGAAGGAAAAACTTCCTTTTAACAGGAAGAAACCTCTGGCAGAACCAGGCCCAGGGAGAGGCGGGGCCATCTGTGGGTGGGGCTTCATTGTGTGCCTGGGTGGGGTTTGAGAGCGAGAAAAGAGGCATGAGAGGAGCTGCTTTACTGCATCGATATAAAATACTTTCATTCTGCATCTCATTTGAAAATGTATCATTTTAAAAAGATGGATTTATGTGTCAGGACGTTCTCCTGCAGATGTTTACGTTGATGCTTGGAGCACGTTTTGCTACCGCACAACTTTGTTGTTGTACCAAACCTGCCAGCGTGATGATTCACCTGCTGTGTCTCCTTTAGAAACTGGCCTTCATGGTGTCCTTGGGCCTGGTAACACACGACCACCTGGAAGGTGAGCGATGGTTTCAGTCTTGGTGTCGTGAAGCTGCTGCGTGAGCAAACATCTGCAGGAAACGCTGATGTGTTTTTATTTGCAGAAATTCAGAGCAAAAGACAGGAACGTAAGAGGAGAACGACGGCCAACCCGGTGTACAGCGGCGCCGTGTTTGAACCCGAGGTACGTCCCAGACTCCCGTTTACCTTTGTGAATTTAGAGTAGGGCTGCCACAAACGATTATTTTGATAGTCGACTAGTCACCGATTATTTTTGCGATTAGTCGACTAATCAGATCATCATCCACTGGACATAAAACTACAGCTTATTGCACCAGCAGCATCTGCTCTTATATAACTATCATTAGCTTACAGCTTTAAGCTTTTAAGGTGCTAACTAACAATAAAGACAAGATGATAGTTTATTCAATTTTAATGAAATCTGCAGATTGTTTCGGTGAAGTTTAATAAACTCCTTGCTATCTAAAATATAACAGGACACCGGAGTAAACTCTCCAGCATCTCACACTTCTGATAATCAGCTGTCTGCTTGACGTTTATTCAGCTGTGTAAAAACTATAACTCAGCCAAACCGATTTACTCAGGAACAAATAAAATACTAAAAAAAGCCAAACAATAACATTTTGAAGTTATCTAAGTGACTCATATATCATGTTTAACCTGAGGAGCGAAAGACGGCGGTGGGTTTGAAAACGATTTGCCGGGAGTCCGGTGTTCTCACGGCGCTAGTGACCTAGCCCCCGGCTAGCTATCGAGCTAGTGGGTAACAGACGTCTCCGAAAACGTCGGAGCGCTTTTGAAAATATGTCGGTGTCCTGATAAACTGAGCAGATATTTGAGGTTTACACAGCTACATTCTCCCTGAAAATATGTTAAACGTTTATTTTGTGACCCAGAAAGAATAATAAGAGTAATATTAAAACTAACTAGCTGCCGCCATTGTTGGAAACTGAGCTGGGTCGCGCTATGAATTCTGGGACACAGCTTCTTCTTCTTCTTCGGGGTTTAACAGCAGCTGGCATCCTTGTACATGCAGTGCTGCCATCTTCTGTTTCAGTCCGTTATTACACTCTTAAATCCTGCTACTTATTCCTGCGTCTTTTGCGATCTTACAAAGCTTCAAACGACACGTCGACTATTAAATCAGTCGTCAACGAGTTTGATAGTCGACGTAGTCGTGACTAGTCGACAAATCGTGGCAGCCCTAATTTAGAGTCAAGCAAAGTGCGATGACATGTTTACGAGTTTGGGTTGATTAAAGTAGTTTTCACCAATATTTTGCCTGCTGAGCGACTTTAACGACGTTTTTCTCTTTTGTTTCAGAGGAAAAAGAGTGCAGTGAGTTACCTGAACAGCCCTCTGCACCAGGGGACCAGGAAGAGAGGTCTGTATGAAAAACAGACCAAAGATGATGGAAATGACAGTAGAAACCAGTAGAGACTGAACGATGCATGACAATAGAATCAGGCAGAGCTACAGTAGAGACGATAATCAGCTGAGAGTCGTGGCAGAGCTGCAGAGAAGAGTGTGTGTGTGTGTGTGTGTGTGCTTCATTGAGTGGAAGAAGAGTAGAAACAGTAGATCAGTGTCTGATCTGATGCTCGGTGCTAATAACGTGCTGTGAAACTTTTCTCCTGCTTCTGCTTCCTGTCTCTGTCGCTTCAGTCGGGTTTCTGTCTAAAGCCGGATTCATGCTCACTCGTCCTCGAGGCTCTGAAGCTTCAAACGGGCTGAAACGCGCCCGCGTGTCGCGTCATTTAGTGCCGATGATCTCAGGTTTCATTCGCAGACTAAACGCAGACACGTACCCTCTGAAACGATGCCGAGGTTGGTGATCAGAGCTGTGGAGCCTTCGATGAAGGAGGATGAATCCGGTTAGACCCTCTGTTTTCTCTGGGAAGAGCTGAAATGCATTCTGGGAATTGTAGGAACACCCTGACTCCCAGTTAACGCCCATGATGTTTGTTTGCTGGGAGCCACGCCGCCGGTAACACGACTAACGGTGTTTCTGATTCGATAACATCACACTTTCCGACAGTCGAGCTGCAGACGTCGTAACGCTAGACGCTAACCTCACGCGCAACTCGTGGTGTCAGATTTTAACACGCCCTGAAAGAGGCGGAGGAAGTCTGCGTCAGTGTCTGCACTGATGTTCGACTGTTCCTTCGCCCTCCAAACGCTGGCCTCGGGTTTCCACCTCGCTGCAGCCGCTCTCTTATTCATCTCTTGCTGTTTGTCTTTTAACTTCGGGTCTTTGTTAAGCCAGTAACGGGCTCGCAGGTCGGCCCGACTGAGCGCCCAACCCACGGCGTGCCTGTCAGCTCCATGCATCTCAGACCCGTATTAAGCCGTTTTATGACTTTTAAGTGGCAACAGGCTGAGCCGCTCGTGCCGAAGAGGCCCGGAAGTCGAAAGACAAAAAGGCGAGGTGGGAACGCGAGGTCGGCACCCGGGGTGTTGACTTCTGACACGAGTCCACGGGCAGCTTTGTACTAGAGCTTGGCGTCAGCTCGCTCGGAGCACTAACCCTGCTGTCTGTGCTTCTGACTCCTCCTCTTCCTCCTCTTCCTCTCTCACCCTGACTCATGCTAGCCAACGAAGACTCCCTTTCCAAGGTATGTCATACAGACTGTTTGTTTTTGTTTTCTCCCCCCTCTCCATCTTTCTTTTTTCTTTGTTTTCCGTCTTTGTCGTCTGTCTCATTTCACCCAGGTCGTCCACCCAAATACAGCAGCGTCCCGGACCTGGTCAGCCTCACCCCGACCTCCCCCTCCAGCCCCGTCCATCCCCTCCCCCTGCCCAGCCCCAGCTCTGGGGATGTAAGTAACGATGGGGGAGACGGACAGCTCAGAGGGTTGGACGCCCCGTCACACACGGTCCTTTTGGCCCAGTAGCTCTGTCACCATTTGCACTCCTCCATTAGTTTGTCGTCTCCATGACACTCATCCGCACTCATCACTTGATTTTACTTTGACTCAGCCTTACAAAGTGAACAGAGTCCTGTAGCGTCATTGATAACTACTGCAGAGCACATTCTAACTCCCCTGTGTGGGCTCAGTCGATTAACACAACACACCATGTCATTAGAACAAGCCCAGACTGTAAACTAAACCAGATCACGGCGCCCCCGCCTTGCCTCTCCGCTGATGGTTGGTGGGGAAACTGATTGGTCCAATTCTTCCTCACAGGGAGACATCCATGAGGACTTCTGCACTGTGTGCAGACGCAGTGGCCAGTTGCTCATGTGCGACACGTGTTCTCGTGTTTATCACCTGGACTGCCTGGATCCACCCCTGAAAACCATTCCTAAAGGCATGTGGATCTGTCCAAAATGCCAAGATCAGGTAACCGCAGCAGACTGATCCTGAGTCAGGGGGAAGGGGGTACTGCAGTCCAGACTGTGCAATGTGCTTCCGGCGGGCCTTCTGCCACGCTGGCCTGAACTTTAGGACTGTTCGATCCTTTGTAAGCAGAAACGTGATGCAGTATTGTTCTTTTGTGCTTCTGTCTCATTCATTGTGTAAAGATCTGCATCTCACATCCATCCACCCCATTGCTCGTCCCCGTATCGGCCCCACCGCAGGGTGGTGGCTAAATTTGTCTCCCTGAACTCTTTTCCGAGCTTCCGCCTCTGTGAAAACTCCCAGCTTCTCTCTCCAGATCCTGAAGAAAGAAGAAGCCATTCCCTGGCCCGGCACCCTGGCTATCGTTCATTCCTACATCGCTTACAAAGAAGGTGACGGCAGCTTTTGCTCTTCTCGTGTGTCGCGTCTGCCGGGACCGGCGAGCTCTGACCGACTCTCCCGTCTTTGTCTTGCAGCTAAAGAAGAGGAGAAGCAGAAGCTGATGAAGTGGAGCTCAGAGCTGAAACTGGAGCGAGAGCAGCTGGAACAGAGAGTCAAGCAGCTCAGCAACTCCATAACAGTGAGCTCAGCGCACACGTTTATGCCTCGGTCCAGTCTCCAGTCCCTCGTTCACAATCTGTGCAGCGCTAAAGTTATCAAAAGTTTTGGCTGTGAGCTGGCTCAGCAGGGGGAAGACTGTCAGCTGCTGTGATGGCCATGTTTTTTGTGTTTGGATGTTGGATAAAGCACCGCGATGCTGCATTGTGAGAGAAAGTTTGTATAATTACCTGTCAGGTCCTGAGCGATCTGCCTCAGGGATGCTGAGTCGGGCTGGTAAGCGATGAAAAGAAGACAGGACAGCTCGTCGTGCTGTAGCTGTATTGTTTTAGAGCTATTCTCCGGCTTCACGTTAAATTCCAGCATCAGCAGCGACGAGCGGGACTGTGTGCCGTAAACGAGCACAGCTCCAGGACAGACGCTCGTCCTCACGGCCGTCACAGTCACAGCGTTTTTACTGTTGTTGCAGTTAAATGCCTGCCGCCAACTTCAGCTTCTGTGAATTGTCACTGCTCTCTTTATTTGAGGAGATGAAACTAAAACCTGTTTTCATTTTTTCAGAAATGCATGGAGACCAAAAACACCATCCTGGCCCGCCAGAAGGAGATGCAGCTCTCCCTGGACAAAGTCAAACACCTGATTCGCCTCATCCAAGCCTTCAACTTCAACCAGGCTCTGGCAGAGACGGAGGGCAAAGACATGAGAGTCCCGGACAGGGCTGAGGCCGCGGTCAGCTCTGAAGCTCCGCCCAAAGTCAACTCAGCGGAGAAGGTGAAGGCGGGGAGCTCCTTGGCCAGCGTCATCACCGAAGGGAGCAAGCCCGAGGAGCACGGAGCCGCGGGGAGCCACCAGACGGGCGGAGACACCTCCGGCCAGCCCGACAGCACAGTCCTAACGGCAGATAGCGGCACCGGCGTGGGGGCGGACGGAAAGGCGGGGCCGGGGGGAGGGGCTAACACGGGGACTGGTCTCCAGGCGGAGATCGTAGCCAAGCCTGAGACTGAGGTAGCCGCGGCAACTAATGTTCCCGCTTCTTCGGCCGTTGCCACCACCAACGGCACAGCCGAGCCAGCCCGTCCTGATCAGAGCCCCGGCGGAGGCCACGGCGCCAACGCCGCCACCGGCTCTGAAAACAAGACAGCTGCCGTCAACCCCCCAGAGACGCCGGCAGAGAAGAAACAGGAGGAGATCACCGGAAGCGATGGCAGCAACACCAACAACAGCAAAACCTCAGAACCCTCCCAGCATTCTTTGCCAGCTCTCGTCAGCAGTTTGGACAATAAAAAGTAACGCGGCGTCTCTTCAGTCGGGGAATTCAAACATATATATTAAAAAAAAAGACTCTTGCTTGCACCGTGTGGTGCCCTGAAGTTGCCAATCTGTATAAATGTTGTTTGTTTGCATTGTATTGTCAGACTGTGTCAATGGTAGATATACAGCCCAAGTCACGTGACTCTGGGAAGACGTAGGCCGTTCCACCCACTGAGCTGGGGTACAGGAAGGCGTGCGCACCAGTGTCATCATGCCAATTAGTGATAGACGTCATGGTGGGAATGCTCAAAGGGAGATTTAACTCATCATCACACCAGTGTGTGCCTGTTACAGTGGCCCCTGTTCCCTGCGAGGTGGGGAGACGGTTCACATGGGCACGAAGAACGCCGAGAACGTGGAGCCAAACATCTGTCAGGGGTTACTGGTCTAAAGCAGTGTTGTGATAAATGAACCTGTTCGTGCCCTCGTCCCAACGAACTTAATGTGAACGACCATGAACCTTAACCATCCGTCCCGACCTTCCCGATCGTCCGATCCTCGCCCGGCCGGCCTCCGGATCTCTTCGGTGGAGAGAAACCCGTGCGTCCCTTCACCCCTTCACTGTGAAAAGGCTTCAGTTTGCTTCAAACACAGAGTGGTGCCAACCACAGGCGCTGCAGATGCAAACAGTCCTAGAAATCTGGATCACGTCGCATCTGGGTGTTTTTGATCGGAAGTCAAACGTAGTGGTCTGTGAATTACGGTGAACTTTGCAGAGAAAATGATGCGTTAGCCAACACCGCTCACGCTGAGCGGCCTAACTTACCTTAACCCAGGTACCCGACAGCTGGGTACAAACAACTGTTGAAGGGAGCGAAAGATAAAAGGCTGAAAATGGGATTTTCAGTCCGTCCTGATTACCGCTAACAGCTCTGAAAATCATACCTTAGACTGATAACCTTCGATATCAGCCAGAGACCTCCTCAGACATCGTCTTTTTAAAGACGGCGGTTGGCGCTTTGAAGCACGCGGCTGCCTTGAAGGTGACGGGTCTGACTTTCCAGATGAGACTGATTGGCAGCATGTCCGCTCATCAAACCACACGTGCACCTGGTGGTGTAAACCCGGGCTCACCTGCCCAGGTCCGAGAACAATACACAACATTATTGCAGAAACCTTAAAGGCCTCGGCATCGTCGCTCTTTTGAAGCACACTGACGCCTTTGGAAAGACTTCCCGAGCGATCCATAATCCCTACATTATTCCCACTCGCAGTCACCCGGTAACCAAACGGCCCATCCTCTCCCCATCTCCTCCCACCTGAGCTCAGGCAGCAAAGACGCCGAGCGGCGCGTTCGACAGGTACAAAGGACGAGGTCGAACAGGCTCGGTAGCCGAACAGATGTTTTCAGTGGTGTCGGTCAAGTGTAGTGATTGAGTTTTCATTCGTGAGTCAAGTGTGTCAACTGTGAGCACTAAATGTGAAATTGCAATACTGCAATGTCAACACACACAAACTATATCTGGGCTGTGTTTCTTTTTTATAGGAAAAGATATTCAGGTCTTCCTAGTCTTCTTCAGAATAAGTGCTTTCTGTTCCTGAACCTGCTGGACTGGCATTATCCACACACAAAGGAGTCCTCTTTTTGAAGCGGTCGTCTTTGCATCGTGTGCGTTTCTGTTGAATCCTGAACTGCCAAAACGACATACCCAAATTCAGCAGGGACAAGTCCACATACTGTATCGAAAGATCAAATCACCGGCGTTGTAAGATATTTAGATGCTACCATTTCAGAAATTGGAAGTCCCCAGATTGAGACAGGAGAGCTTACTAAACAATAACATTAAAGGAACTTTTTTCCTTCAAACGGTTTGTCGTACGAAGCTGCTCCTTCCGACGGATCTCAAAGGACGATAATCCTGAGATTAAAGCACAAGCTTGCTGCATTACAAAGAAGTGCTGAAGAGCTTTTTGTATGTTAATATGGAATTAAACAGAGTATGCATCTCTTTGTTGTGATGTGACTTATCCCCCACATTGCCAATATTTTTCTCGGAGGACACACAAACCTCTCTCTGACGTGCGTAGTTCCTGTTTTTGGGAGGAGCGGCCCGAGAAGCGCCTTCGTCCCCTCGCGGTCAGACACGTGCGTCTCTTTTCTTTCGGTGTGGCCGAAGCACGACGCTGTCGTTTGTGGCTGTCGGTTCAGGTGGGTCTGCTGAGCCGATCACTGCTGGCTTCTTGTTGGGAGCGAGGCAACGACGGCGCCTCTGGTTGTGCTGGAATTTCTGTCGCTTTCTTTCTTCGAGCTGTTTTGGAGCATCGTTGCCCAGGTTTCAGTCGCCCGGCGGCGTCTTCACCCCTGAGTGCCAACGCCGTTTGTTTTCTGTCATCGTGCACGTTCGCTGGGACTAGAGCTCTGCTGTGTGAGTGGCTGTGATACCTTGTAGGTGTGGGGTAGGCCCAGCAGCAGAGGAGGACGAGGAACACGTGAAGGTGGCCGCGTGTTTCAGCCTGTGTTGCTTACTGATGAAACATCAGTAGTTGGACTTTCCTGCTAACACCTGTACGGTCTCTGGAGTGCTGATAGAAGGCGTTTAGCGACGTGCACGTGGCACTGACCGCAGAGGTGAACACGCTGCAGGGCGACTGCGGGTGACCGTTAACTTCATATCACTACGACCAAGTCGGCATATCTGACACCCGGTGTTCTCGTATACAGACTGCCTTCATTCAGAAGATCCCACAGAAACGTTTCCATGCATTCGGCCGCCGTGTCGCGTTTTATGCCGTCGGTCAGAAGAGCTCGGCCATTCGAACACAGATGGGAAAGAAGAGCCAGAAAAAAGAAAAGAAAAAAGGCAACTAAGGTGTCCCCGGGTCCCTCTGAGTATCATTCGTTGTGTGTTTCGTTGTTCGTCGGCGTTCTTCACCACGCGAGGCTGTGTTCACTCATGGGTAGAGCAGAGTAGTCATCGAGTCTCAACAAGGTTTTCTTTCAAAGAGCCCGAACTTGTGTTCCAGTCAGACTGGACCTCTCCCTCTGTACAGTAGGTACCTCGAGTGCCTTTCTTCAAACAGCAGATAATATTTGTCTCTTGACTTGCACTGTGACTTGTAGAACCTTACTAACCCCTCCGTATGACCCTCCGGTCCCCCGTCCCAGGAGCTCCCCCCAAACTCCGGAGCACAAACTCGGTCCCTCCACCTCAGGCTGCCAGTAGTCAATGCAAGTTAAATCTACATTTCATATATGATGCCGTTTGAAATCGACCGCATAGTGTTTTGTTGATGTTTAATAGAGGAGTTGCCTTAAATGTGTTTTGTTTTCGTTTTTTTCTGTGATTAACTTTTCCATTCGGAGAAAAAAAAAACACCTGTGCAGACGCGAAGGTCAGAGGTCGTTTGGTGAGAAGCAGTCGGGGTTTTCCCGACGATGATGATGATGACCTGCTCGGAGCTGTGTTGTGATGCACTTTTTGATTTGACCAGTATTATCGGACCGGGATCGGTCAGCAACGCAGAGCGCAGGTGTGAATCCCGGTTCCCCGGATTTCCTGGCTGGACTCGCGTTCGTTTTATTTTGAAAGGTCCATCGTTGCTTCTGCACTGTTCTGGTTCTTCTTTGGCTTCAGATAACGCCCGAGTTTGCTAAATCAGGTCACATGAGGCGTCTGGCATGATCAAACTTTGACCCGAGTAAGAGCATCTGTCAGTGCAGCGGCGGCAGCGGAGCGCATGACTTTTTATGCAAACTTTGATAATAGACGTGTCGAAACGTTTTTTTTTATATGCATCTGCTTTTATTGTTACGTTTTCATGTGAAACTCGAGTCACTTTCTTTTCTTTGGGCGTTCTGGCAGACACAGATGCCAGAGCGCGCCGTTTAGGTGTTAAACGTTGCAGCGACCATCTGCGTTCAAAGGGTTTCTTCAGAATCAGAAGGTTTTTCCATGGATGTATGAAGAAGAACTGGACACCTGTTCTCCACTGACACGGTGCCGTTTGTGGGGCGGTCCTACCGCAGAACGCTTACCGGTGATTGGTAGAAGTAGCCTGTGGATTTGGAGTAACGTCACCCCAAGTTCGACCAGCGCTTGGTTCAAACATGAACGCAGTCAACGGATTGTGCCCGCCGCTAGTTTCTTTCTGGGAAGTTACCCAACTTTGACCTCATCAGCACCTTGTCAGTGGAACGCAGGAGGAAGATCATCGAAAAAGTAGCCCTAGCTTTGTCCGGCTCGTGGGTTAACAGAGAGAAATCGCTGCTGTGATTGGTTCTGCTTTGTTCAATGACTGTTTGATTCATGGCTTGGCCGAGGTTTAGGTGATGCCGGGCTACAGAGCAGGAGCTCTGTGGGGGAAAGGAGGCATGCGTTAGGCCTGAGTGTCTGCCCTGCATCGGCTCTCTGAATACATCCATGGGTTTAGGTTCTTCGTTGTAGTCTTGATTTGGCTGATGCGGCGTGCCGACTGTTGGGATCCCAGCAGAGCTGCGAAGGTTCGGGGAGGAAGGCTCTCTAAATTGCTTCTCAGTTTCGATTTCGCCGAGCCGTCCGGGTGAACTTATCCAAAGAACACTGAGAGCATACATTTCGTCTCTGCATATCATACGGATGTCGTTTTCCTGCGTTGGCATCGTGCTCGTGGTCACATTAACCGCTCATGCATTCTAAAAAAAACAAAAGACTGTGCTGGGGGGTCGTTCCTGCGAGGTAGTTTGCTCCGACTTTTAAGTTGTATCAGTTTTAAAACGATCAAGTCATGATTGTGGCCTTCTAGTATTCTGTCGGTACATGACGTCATTAATCTCTCGTGCCCGCCCGCCCATCTGTCTGGACCCAAACGTACACCTGCAGCTTCTTACCTCATCCACAGCTGATTCCATCGGGGTGTGTTTGAGTGCAAAAAAAGAAAAGTTCAAAAAAAGAAAAAACAAAAGTCTTTTTTTATCTTCCATTTGGTGAGATGCATTGTAGCGATATGAATAAAGAAAAAGTTCACCTGGTGTGCTGAATAATGTGTAAATTGGTAATTACACAATCTGAATATTTGTATAATTGTTTGTATTTTTTCATAATGATTTTGGAAAGGAATGTGTTTATTTTTTTGACTTCTGTTCCAGATGTGTCTTCTGTTGGCCTGACATTGTGACTGGTCTGGTGGGATTCTTACCTCTGTATTGAGCCTCTTCTGTGATGAATTCTTTGTATGCAGTGTTTAGGAAATACTGTAGGGAACATGGGGAGGAGTTGATATTAGGAGCATTTGATCAATTTGTATTTATTTATTTTATCATTTTGTTAATAAATTGTGAAAAGCAGACCGTGTGGTGCCTGCCTGTTTATTTTGGTTTTAAGAAAGAAGCCACATTCATTAAGAACAAATGTTTGTATAGTCCCTAACAATAAAACCGCCGGCCCCTGTATTACAAATGAGAATATTTTTCCTTTTTTTAAATCGTTTTTGCCTTTTAATTTGATTCGTAGCTTTTGAATTATGTATATTAGATTTTCGTATGTTTTCTTCCAGATATTTGCGGAGTGGTGAGATGAAATGAAGAGAAGGCGTACAGCCTTTATTTCTCCTGTGTCTGTGAAAAATGTCAAAGTAAATTAGCCGATGTGGAGCTGCTGTCTGAGACTCAAACACAGACGCTGTGGATGTGAGAAAAGATAAAAATGTTTTGCTTTTTTTCGTTTCTAATCGGGAGCCTGCTCGGGTATTCTCGCTGGAGATCGGACACAAAGGAAGGTGCTCGTCACACACACTGTAAAAACACGAGAGTTCCGCTCTGACTGAATCCCGAGTCCGCTTTTAAACAACGACGATGACTTCCTGTGGTTAGTCGTCCCGCGGCTCCGTGCCCGCGTGCTTCCCGGACTGAAGCGTGTGGCGAACTGGCCAAACCCTAAAAACTAAACTCCCGCATCTGAAACCCGCCAAAGGAGAAAAGCACCAATCAGATACGAGCGTCGTGGTGTGTGATCTTTATATACAGACCCGTGAGGCCTCTCCCACGAGCAGCAGAGTGGCGCAGCGGAAGCGTGCTGGGCCCATAACCCAGAGGTCGATGGATCGAAACCATCCTCTGCTATGGATTTTGGGTTTTTTTTGTTTTTTTCCCCCCTTTGCCGCCTCTGTCACACTGTCTGTGCTCCTGCGGTAAACTCTCCGTTTTTTATCATTCGTTCAGTAAAACCGCAGACACCTGCTGTACCGCGTGTGCCGCGTTCACTGAGCTCCAGAGACATTTACCCCGAGCCTCGTGGACGCGGCGGAACAAACTGCTGAAAACACGATCGAACTTTTTCCATATCAGGCTGAACAAACCGGTGTTGTGCCAAAAAGTGATTGTCTGCCAAAAACTGATTTCCAGTGTTTCTGTGTATTTTTTATGTGTAATATCTTTACGTATGTTCGTAAATAGACTTCGGTGAACAGGGGATACAAAGGGGTTACATAAAGAATTAAAAAATATCTGTTTTTTAAGTATCTTTACAACTTGTACTTACATTATAACCAATCCGGTCCTTTATCCCCACTTACAATATTTTTACAGAACTATTGTAATATTTGCTGCCATTTCTGCTGTCCTGTTGGGCAACTTACTCTTACAAAATACATGTTTAATGTTAATGAGATTTTTTTTATTGCATAAATAAAGGTTATATAAAAGTCGCTGCCAAAAACTGATTGCGGCTTGTATCTTGCTACACGAATGTTGTTTGTGGCTCAAGATGACTTTATGTCATCCATAAGGGATGCATTTGACATATGTTTAACATATTATAGCCCAACAAGTTACTTATAGCACTTTAAATATGAGCAATCGTTTTTGGCAAATACCGGAAATCAGTTTTTGGCACAACACCGGCAAATGTTCGCCCGAATGTGTAACTACACTAAAAGATGAGACGTGGCGCCCCCTGTCGGAGGTGGGGGGTTAATGCCGCTGGAGGTGTTGAAGACCTGAGGAGCCAACCCGCCTGACCGGGGCATCAAAACACCAACAAGCCTCCATCCATCAGACGCTTAGAGAAGCTCAGGAGAAGCTGCTCTGTGTCTCTGTGGATCCAGAGAAAGCATAAGAAAGGACAGCTGGAAGGTGGAGGTCAACCATCCACAGGCAGGTGAAGAAGGGAGTGCAGGCAGGGTGGAGACCAGTGTCAGCCATGAATGGTTTGCAGACGGTGGAGGTCAGCATGTGCAGGGGGAGACTGGATTTATTAGACAAAGGATGATGAAGATGGAGAAGAGGAGGGCCTCGGAGGAGGTTCATGGATGTGGTGAAGGAGGACGTGCAGAGGGTTGGAGTGACTGAGGAGGGGGTGGAGGCCAGTGGTGGAGATGGACATTTTTCTAATGTCTGTAAATAAATGAAGGAAACCTCAGCATCTTTCATCCCAGCTGGAACGTACCAAGTGTCACTTATGGGGAGGGCCGATGGAGATGATGAACCATGAGTCGGCCTTGTTTCTGTACGCTGATCAGTTTTGTCATCAGTGTGTCTCACAGCTGATCAGCTGTATCGATCCTTCCACGAGACAGAAATGTCCCAGTGACGGAGGCGGTGAAGTTGCATTTAAAAAAATGTGTTTGTCCTTCGCTTAAGAAAGGGAATTCTCTCTGTGTGTGTGTGTGTGTGTGTGTGTGTGTGTGTGTGTGTGTGTGTGTGTGTGTGTGTGTGGTGGGGGGGGTGACCCGGTGAGCCCGGGATCCTCGGCGGGTCTGCAGCCTGCAGCTGGCCGGGGATGAGCGCTGACAGGCGGACTGAGCTGCACCCAAAGCCGCCTGCCCGCCTCCTCTCCCGGCCTCCAGCCTCCGCAGGCATTCGGTGAACTTTAATTTTTGCGCACTTGCTTTCTTCCGTTTTTCCATGTCATTTCCTGTGATAAAAAATGGTGGTCACAGCTCGGGGGAGGCGACTGAGTCGGTGCAAAAATTAACGCCAAACTTGTGATCTGCGGGCAGCGGCGGAGCCAGCGGACGGGGGAGGGGGCAGAGAGCGCGGTTCATCCCGGGGAGAGGCTCCCAGTCCCCGCTGCGTGTCTGCACGAAGGTGGGTCCGTGTCGGTGGCCACTGTGGCCAGTGAAAATGGCTTCCGAAAACTGCAGGCAGATTGCCAGCTGCCTGCAGATTGAAGCGGAGAAAGCGTGGCGCAGATCCGAGCCCGAACGCGCTCTCTGCGGTAACCCACTCCTGTCGGCCGCTAACCTGCGCAAAGTTAAAGGCAACTTTAGTCTGCGGCGTTCACGTGTCCATGGACCTCGCAGCGTAGTTTCTTTGTCGGAGCTTCGTGAAGCCACGGAGGGGCAGATCCGTCCGAGACCCACACACTGATCCCCGGCATCTGTCCCTGATCGATGCCGTAGATCAATACTTGATCACACCCGCAGCTGCTTTGTATTTCAGTCAGATAATCCCGTGTTCTTATCACGCAGGTGATTGACTGTTATCTTTCCAGGTAGAGTGTGGCTGTAGCAGGGTTATTATGGGATGCATGAAGCAGCAGCAGGACCCTTCAGAGTGTTTACTGCAGGCTCTGCAGCTTTGCATGATTCACTGTTCAGAATAATCCTTCTTTGTGTTACACTGGCCCTGCTCCTGATTGGCCAGCTTCTGTAAGCTTCTGTCTGTTTTGTGACAGTATAACCGGGACGTGTAGGTGCATCAGCAGCGCTCAGGCTAAAAAAATAAATCAGCCGCTGGGTCGGAGATGTTGGGAAAATTTGCTGAAAATCATTATTGGGTTCCATGTTTGAACAATACCGTTACATAGAGAATATTCCCAGCAGTCCACATATGCAAACGTCTTTCCAGGTTAGTCTTGAGAAGTCAAGCACACCCAGTTTTTTCTTTTTTTAACTTTATTCTCAAAAGTGCACATTTTCCCCTGAGCTTTACCCCAGTCACCGGGACGATGCTTCAGAGGTCAAGTCTGAGGCACACGCTGTTCGTCCAGCTTAAGTTTCTGCTTTTTTCTCTTATTATTAGAAAACGATTCCAGGAAATGAGCTTTTGTTTTGGTATGAAACGAACATTTGGATCCAGAATGATTCCCGCGCTCGATGACGGAGCGGCGGCGCGTGGGACTCCCGCAGCACTTTGATGACACGTAGCTGGTGTGGAGAAATGTGAACGATACAAAGGAACGCTTAAACCACGTTTCAGTCTGAGAGCTCATACCTGTGACCTTCACCTGTCCCCGATTCTGAAAAACGGAGCTTCAGTTTGTGAAGAGAAACACGAGTACGAATATCTGATAAACTGAACGTGCTGCGGGAGCAACGAGCGCCTCCTGTGACGCTCTAACAACTGTGTTTATTTTCCACAGACGGGTGTGAAGTGGACGACGGACCGGATTTCACCATCATGGTTCCACCATGAGCGAGAACTCGCTGGACCTCTGGTGTAAGCTTCACGTCTGCTCCCTGATTTGTCCCTAGAGCTTGATGTGGCTGATTGAATAATGAATATTTGAATGTTTCCGTGCTCGCGCTCTGAGCCCTAACATGTCGTCATTATCACGCTGACACGTGGAGCTGCTCGTGCGTTTCCTGCACACGTGTATTTGTTCAGTGGTCTGATTCAATCACAACATGTTAGAAAAGCCTCTGATTGTGCTGCCAGCCACAAACGTTTTACCTCAAACACTCAAAGATTTGGTAAAAACTTTCTGTCCTCTGGTGACGGACGTGAGTGTCAGGATCATTTTGGGCTTTCAATCATTTCTTTGAACAGTTTCTTTGGATTGTACAGCTTTAAAGACTTTAAAGAACAAGTTTCTCTGGTCCAAAGTTCACGTATAGGCTCAAATATATACAGACCCTATGTAATGTTTGGTCATTTAGCAAGTTGCGATCAGACACCATCAGCAGTCTTCTGATGTAATCCTGTCTGGATAAAACAGCCCAGAGCGTGATGCTGCCACCGCCATGCGTCACAGCTGCAGTGTTCTCAGGGTTGAAAGCCTCACCTTTGCTCCTCCAATCAGCTCCATCTTTGTCTCGTCTGACCATCAAACTTTTCTCCAGACGCCGTTTGGCTCATCCACGTGGGCAGATTTCAGTTGAGCTCGTTGATTTTGGAGCAGGAGCTTCTTTCTTGGTCCATGGAGATGTGAGACTGGCTTCACTGTGGAAGTGACACTGGTGTTCCAGCAGATTCCAGTCCACAGCAGGCTTGATCCTGGGTGTTCCTGAACATCCTAACAGTTTCCTGTCATCTGAGGGCGACAGTCTGGGTCTCTCCCAGACCTCAGTGGGGACAGATCTGAGTAACTTGTGTGATTTTGAACCTTGTTCAGAAACGGCTCAGAGAAACGTGGAAACCAACAGTTCTGCTTTTAGATCTTCACTGAGACGTCTCGATGCGCGCTCAGTCATCCGGGTAAGGAAATCCCAAAAGGCTGATCCTGTTCATCTGGACGTTTTCAGTGGGAGAAACGTTTCATCATCATCAGGCGACTGCAGGTCTCCACCCTTATAAACAGAACACGTGCATAATAGCTGACACCAGCACCACTGACGAACAGCGTGCTGTCAGGTCGGTTTCATGACCTACGTCCAGATGAACAGAATCAACCTTCTGGGACTTCACTGAGTTTGTTGGATTTTCCCTTTGTCTGCACCTGATTTGATGATGTCATTATTTGCACTCTGGTTCAACAACATCTGAATCTCAGGATTGTCTTCTCAAATCTTCCTAAAGTAATAATCTGTTATTAAAGAAGAAGATTTGGAGATAACCTTTATCTGCTGGGTTTGTCCTTCAGTCTGTGAGGAGTGTCAGGACTATTTCCAGAAGGAGTGTCCGTCTCACGGGCCCCCGCTGTTCGTCCGGGACACGCACGCAGCCCCGGGGACGGCCAACAGGGCGGCGCTCACGGTCCCATCGGGTTTAGAGGTGTTCAGCGAGGGAGACGAGGTAGATGTTCGCTGCGTGGACGCGATCTACCCGAAGGGGGCACTGTTTGGGCCGTATGAGGGAGAGCTGGTGTCCAAGGACAGATCCTCAGGATTCTTTTCATGGATCGTAAGCTCGCCACAGACACCAGTGTACAACCAGTATACAACCAGTATACAACCAGTATACAACTACTTTCCTTTTGTTCCGGGACGTCTGAATCTGTTTGCTTTCCCGTTTTCAGATTGTTGATGTGCACAACACTTACCAGTCCATCGATGGCAGTGATGAGACCAAAGCCAACTGGATGAGGTGAACTTTAGTCTGAGGTTAACGTCATCCATCACCGCCGGCGTTTGTTTCAGTTGTACCGACGGGTTCTCTTCTACTGAGCCAACAACCTTTCATACATCTCTTTTTTTCTCTTTAATTTCATTTTAAATTTGGGTGCTTGGCAACGCATTCATCACCTCATTAAAACCACAATACCACAATAAATCTGATTTGCAGGAGTTACTGAGTTACATCTCAGAGGTCAGACTGATCCATGACGGTCTGTCCTGGAGAAACGACCCTCGGCTTTTCTGTCTCTGACCAGGTACGTGCGGACCTCGTTGGAGGAGAGCGACAGGAACCTCACGGCGTTTCAGCACGGTAAAAACATCTACTTCAGAGTCTGCCGGGCGCTGGCGGCCGGAGAGAAGCTGAGGGTCTGGTACAGCGACGATTACATCAGACGACTTCACTGCGTTTCTCAGGAGAGCATCGACCGCAACCTGGACACAGGTGAGGAGGCAGTCGGGTGAAATATTAGAGCAGGTAACAGGAGACGCAGTCACTGAAAATATATCATGAGTTTTAAAATCTCTTCATACAATTTGGAATGTCTCCTCTGTAATATTCTGGATATTTGTAATTAGAGACATTTCTTATATTTTGTAAACTTTGTAATATGTTGCATTATGTAATTAGTTCAGTCTGTTACTGTTGTCGTCTTGGAGCGACTGTGACCCACATAGACTCTCAGGGATTATTCAGATGTCCTGCTCTTGGCTCTCCAGCAGGCGGCGCTGTTTTGCTGTTGCTCTCCTGGGTGCTGGAGTCTTTCTGTGGATCACTTTGTCACCTGTAGAGCACTTTGAACCCACTTTTAGGGGCTTTAAATACCTCAAAAACGGTTTTCTTTCAGGTCCTGGGAAAGACTTCAAGTCCCCGTGCCTGCAGTCAGCTCTGCAGGGTAAACTGAGCAAACAGCCGAGCGAAGAGTCCGACGGTCAGCCTCCGGCCAAGAGAAAGAAGATCGACCTCATCTTCAAAAACGTCCTAGAAGCTTCTTTGGAGGACTCTGGTAAATTCAGGTTCCGGTCTGGCCAAACCAGCGAGTATAAAGTACCAGCCCTGGTTTCGGGGTTTGATTCCTCTGAGAGCGGCTTTGGCGTTCCCAACCTGAAGGTGGAAGAGAAGGAGGAGGAGAACCAGAGCACAGAGAAACCCTCCACCTCCTTCTGCCCCAACTGTGTGAAGCTGAAGAGGAGGATCCTGGAACTGGAGGAGGAGCTGTCCCGTCTCCGAGGAGAACAGGGGGACGCTGCTGCTCCGGCGACGTCCGAACAGACTCAACGCGATCAGGCCCCACCGCACCCCGAGCAAGGCCCCATCGAGGATTTTCAAGGTATGTGAGAGAGCAGGAGGGCAGATGTTCTCTGCAGCGCAGCGCTCTGCAGTGTGGCTGTGTTTGACGTGCAGAGTCTAGCAGGCGTGTTTGTTTCGATCACACAAAAAAGACTCTGAAGGTTCGTTTGGCTGTTTGTTTCCACCACAGTCCCACAAAGATTAGTCACATTAGTTAATACCTGCAGACTTTTGCACACATCAGCCACTTTATTAGGAACACCTTGCAAGTAAAATGCAGTCTAATACAGATCAGTACATCCCGCCCACTGACCTCAGTAATGCATTTAAGTGTACCTAATAAAGTGTCTGGTGAGTGTAAATGAGAGAAAACTCAAGCGATCAGCGATGTGTGTCGCTGCAGGAGCCCCCCTAGTTCACCACTGAACTCTCTGTCGGGACAGAAAGTTTTCTAGACCGGTCCGCGAGTCGTTTGGTACCGGGCTGCGAGAGTTGATGCTCGGGTGTGAAATTCACGGTTTTCAGGGTTTTTATCGTTATTTTCTTTCAATCGTTTTTATTGTTAACTCGCTTTCCCCGGGTCTTTCCCGTGGGTTATGAATAAATCTTCTTTTTTTGGTACTGGTACTGCTTTTATTTTATCCGCGACACCTTAAAGGCCAGTCCGTGAAGATATTGTCGGGCATAAACCGGTCCGTAGCGCAGAAAGAGTTGGGGACCTTTGTTCTCGACGGTTCTTGGTTCAGTTCAGTGATTTCATGCAGATTGTGATGCCAGACAGTTTATTCAAACGTGCCAGCACTGCTGCTAGCTGCTGCAGTTTGTCAGCACGTTGCGTGGTTCGTACACAGCTGTGTGCAGATCAACAATGGATCACATATCGAGTGCAGAGAGAGTATGAGCGTGCAGCGTTTAAAGCGTGGAAGTACTGACCTTACTTTGAGTTTGATTCCATAAAAAGTGACAAAAACATGAGTGTCCGCTGTGCGTGGGAAGAAAACTTCTTTTTACAGCGAAAAAACCCCTAAACTTCCAACAAGCACCGAGTAGCTACGACGTAATGGGAAACTCACAGAGAAACTCGCGGATTCTTCCACTGACCGCGGCACACCTGCACCAGGGTAACCCTCCGCCTGCCCCACTCCTGCTTTACAGGTGAAAATAGAGCAACAGGACCGCTGAGTCTTTGACTTTATTTATTTTCTGCTGTGTTTTACTTGCATCTATTTGAAAGACTGAGTGTAAACACAAAAAATATTTTATTTTATGTGCTGGAATGTGCAGAAAATAGGTTTAAATGTTAAACTAATTTCTTCCAGTCAGAGAATGTTGCAGATAATTAAATTTTTGCTTGATGCATAAAGTTAAAAGATTAAAACTAATAAAACAAGTTTTAAAAAGAGACTTTTCCATCTGATTACATTTTGTATGATGGATTATGCAGAAAAAGTAGAATTGGGCTGAAAGATCTATCGCTCTATCACCTCTTCAGGGTGTAAATCGTGTTTTTAAAAAGTAACTAAGTAACTAATTACTTTTGAAAATAAGTAATCAGTAAAGTAACGGGATTATTTTTGGGGGGGAAGTAATCAGTAATTAGTTACTGATTACTTTTTTCAAGTAACTTGACCAGCACTGGTCGTCACAGACCGCTAGCTCAGCTGATGGGCGGTGCCGAGGCCGCCGCCTCTGTCTTCTGTCAGAAATGTGAATGAACACACAGCCGAGTGCCGTCCTGTGAGCTGTGGAGTGGTTCTACTATGACGATCATGACAGCAAAGATATCTGCCAAACGCGAGGAGTGCTCTAAGCACGTGTGAATCCTGTCTAATGGTTGTGGAGCGCTCACGTTGATGAAGTCATTCACTCTGCATGATATTAGACATTTGATGTGACTTTACTGCTGGTTACTCTCAGAAGTTGAATAAGTTTCTCTTTGCAGGGATGGAGCCCTCGACACCCACTCAGGTGGTTCTGGACGAAGACGAGCAGGACGTGGACTCTGCCGATGAGTCCATCGCTGCAGATCTTGTGATATCTCCCGAGGACTCGTCGAAGCTTTCCTCCGCAGGAGGCAGACGGATTCGACGCTTCAAGCAGGAGTGGCTGAAAAAGTTCTGGTTCCTCCGTTACTCGCCAACCCTGAATGAGATGTGGTGCCACGTGTGCCGCCAGTACACCGTCCAGTCATCCCGCACCTCAGCTTTCATTATCGGCTCCAAGCAGTTCAAGATCCACACCATCAAGCTGCACAGCCAGAGCAACCTCCACAAGAAGTGTCTGCAGCTGTACAAGCTGCGCATGCATCCGGAAAAGACCGAGGAAATGTGCAAGAACATGATGCTTCTCTTCAACGCAGCGTACCACCTGGCCCTAGAAGGGCGGCCCTTCTCCGACCTCCGTTCATTGGCAGAGCTCCTGAAGAAGTGCGAGCTCAAAGTGGTAGATCAGTATATGAATGAAGGCGACTGTCAGATCCTAATCCACCACATCGCCCGGGCTGTGAAGGAGGATCTCGCAGAGAAGATGCGTCTGTCTCCCTTCCTGAGCGTCATAATGGACGCCCAAAACGATGACCTTTTCTCCAACATGGTGGCGGTCTACGTCCAGTTCGTTACCAACGAGGGCTCCCCAAACACAGAGTTCCTGTCCTTGCAAAGACTGACCGTGGCCAATGTGGATGGGTATCTCCAGGTCATGGATCGTGCCTTTGGTGTCCTAGGCCTCCGGTTTCAGGACTTGCTGGTGGTCGGTTTGGGGGTGGACGGCACCAACATCTCTTCAGGAATGAGAGCAAACCTTTATATAGCTGTCCAAAAAACCTTTCCCTGGATCCTCTGTCTTCCCATCATGATCCATCGACCACATCTGGAAGTTCTGGATGCCATCAGTGGAAAGGAGCTCTCCTGCCTGGAGGACCTGGAAAACAACCTCAAACAGCTTCTCAGTTTTTACCGCTACTCCCCTCGCATGATGGCCGAACTGCGATCCACTGCGCCAACACTGTCAGAGGAGACAGAGTTCCTAGGAGACATCAGAGCCATACGCTGGATCATAGGAGAGCCCAACGTCCTTAATGCGCTCATCAAGGATTACCTGGAGGTCGTTGCACACCTTAAGGAGATCAGTAGCCAGACACAGAGGGCTGACGCTGCGGCCATCGCGCTCACCCTCCTCCAGTTCCTCATGGACTATCAGTCAGTGAAGCTCATCTACTTCCTGCTCGACATCATAGCTATCCTGTCACGATTGGCCTTCACCTTTCAGGGAGAGTACCTGCTGGTGTCGCAGGTGGAAGCCAAGATAGAGGAGGCCATTCAGGAGATAGGCCAGTTGGTGGACTGCCCCGGAGAATATCTGCAAGAGTTTGAGGAAAATTTCAGAGAAAGTTTTAACGGAGTTGCCTTGAAGAACCTGCGCGTTGCAGAGTCCAAGTTTCAGTCCATCAGAGAAAAGATCTGCAACAGGAGCCAAAGTATCCTGTCTCAGAGGTTGGACCTGCAGAGCTGCTCATTTGCCAAAGCCTGCAAGGTGCTGGACCTGTCCACCTGGCCCAGCAACCACGAGGACCTGCAAGCCTACGGGGACGAGGAAATCAAGATTATATTCAACCACCTGGAATCGATTCCCACCGCAGCCCAGGAGGTCTCCCAGACGGAGGCCAGAGGCGGCCTGGTGGTGGAGTGGAAGGATCTGAAAGCAGACTACTACAGTATGAACGGTTTTAAAGAGGTGATCGGCCACATCTGCAGGTACAAGCAACGCTTCCCGCTGCTGAACCGCATCGTGCAGGTTGTCAGGGTCCTGCCCAGCTCCACGGCCTGCTGCGATAAGGGCCGAGGGTCTCTGCAGAAAATGTGCAAGAACAACCGCTCCCGGCTGACCCTGGAACAGATGAACGATCTGCTGACCGTGGCTGTTAATGGACCGCCCATCGCAAACTTTGACGGGAAGCGAGCATTGGACAGCTGGTTCGAGGAAAAGTCCGGCAGCAGCTACTCACTCTCGGCTGAGGTGTTGAACAGGATGTCGGCGGCTGATCAGAAATGCGTGCTGCACAGCGTTGACGTCAACGCAGAATTCTACCCTGATGTGTAACATGCAGATCCTGTGCTGCTGAAAGATGTGGTGTGCAGCCAAACAAGGGTAGACGCTGAATTCAGAAAAGCCGTGACGTCACAATTACTGCCACCAAATTCAGCTGGAAGAACAAAAGCAGCCAATCGGTGTGAAGAGGCAGAAAATCAAACATCCCAAAAATTCCGCTAAAAGCTCAAGAAAACCCAAACGAGCCATGTGAGCGCATCTTGACCTTCAGTGGCCTTTGGCTCGTTCAGTCATCAGGTTCTGGGAACACTTTCTGCACGGCCACCAAAATGTTTGTTGTGAAATTTTAGCTTCATATATCAAAAATGTTTCAACATATAGGATTTTAAAAATGGCTCTGTAGACTTACTTCCAGCAGCTTTTATCTTTTTTTGCAGTTTGAAATCTGAGGCCCTGTTTGAATATGAGTATCTCCAAAACTGTTAAATGTTAAACATACAAGTAGTGGGACTCTCCAACATTTGCTCTCAGAGGTGAAACGTCTGGAAACCTGGAGGCCAGTCGCTTTTCTTTGCGAGCTCCTTAGACGACCGTGACCTGGTGACCTTCACAGACATAATGATATAAAACTTTTCATATGAGAAATAAACTTAGCAAAGCAATTAAGACTTGTGAAAAGGGGATTTCTAGCTCATTTCCCATGATTGGCAGTCGGATACAAGACAAACATGACCTCATAGTGGGTGAAAATAAATATTTAACATATTAAGCTAAAGTTTCACAGCAATCCTTTTACATGTCCAAACTTTTGATCGTGAGACCTTTGGACAAATCGAAGGTGGTCGAGCCGAGAGCCCACGGCGACTGAGATAGACTGAAGAAGCGTTTCTCCACAGAGCTTCAGCAGTCTGCTCGTTCTGCTCGTGAACGTGCGAAAGCTCATCATCAGCTGCATTTAAAGGAGCTACAGAAACACACGTTATGAAGATGAAGGTCTCTGCAGACCAGAGAAAATGTCACATGACCTTTTAACATCCACCAGCTCAACTGGAAATCTTACTAAGACGAACTCCGAGTCAGACTCTCTGTAGAAGGCCTGATCTGACTGCTATGGTATTCTGGTCTCTGTGTGAATGGGTTGCAACCTAATCTCGACCCAAGTGAACAAAAATGACCGCAAAGTGCTTCAAAACGTCCCAAATCGATGCAAAACGACGTCCAAAAGGCTCCGAGAGACCCACGACCTCCACGGAGACACAGACTCACCACCAAGAAACAAACGTCCACAGGGAGGCGGCGAAACAAGAAGCACAAAAACAAGCGACGGAAGACGAGCTGAGCGTGTGCCGCTGTGTTGCTTTCACGTGTCCGTGCTCGGCTGGGAGCCTCCCGCTCCGAGCTGCGCTTGTTCCATGTGATAATGAAGCGCTTGTTGCCACGATAACAGACAGTTTCACATCGGGAACAATCGTTGCTCTCTGCTTTAGCTCATCTGCCAGCAGCTTATTCAGTGTTGTGCCTGACAGGAATGAAAAGCTGGAGTGTGAGGATGTATAAAGGCTTTATATTTCTATTAGAAATGCCCTGCTGCACACGGTCTATACTGTGGTGACTGTACATACTGTAAATGCTGCCGAGCCTGTTTTTAAAGGACAGTGTTTTTCTCTTGAATTGGATGATTGTGCCAAAATGATCGAATGCGAAGAAAAAGGTGCTATCCTGCGACGCCACGCTGTACTTTTGCCATATTTGTTCAGTCTTTAGTGCAGCCAATGATCTATTTTATGTTCCTGATGCCATTTTCCACTGATGTTCTGCAGGAGCAGTTCAGCTTCGGCCAAAGCTTCAGAGGCGTTGTAACAGCTGCATGATCGACTGCTGCTTTCAGCTCCTTCCTAAGCCTGTGTTTTATAATTATTATAAAGGTTTTTTTGCTCATGTTTAATGCAGAAATAAATATGCCATGATGGGAATGATCAGCCTGACTTTATTTTTTATATTTGTCTGAATTTAAATTCATATTTTTGAGAAATTTGTCATTTTTAAAAATTATTTTGCTTCATAAATATGAGCAGCTGATCTTCAGTCCTCCATAGTTTGAGTAGTTTTTCTCAGACTGTAGTTAAAAGATGGATGCAGCTGTTAGTTCTACAGAGAAGCCAACAGGGGGCGACTCTTGTGGTCTGATTGTATAGAATTATATTTGATATATATTTTCATGAATATTGTTCATATTTCCATACAATATTATTTACACCATTTAAAAAATGTTTTTCGTAAATTTTTCAGAAAACATTTAATTACATATTCTGATAATTCATGAATTTGAGATTTAAGCAGATGGCCCCGCCCCTCTCTGGTTCTGCCGGAGGTTTCTTCCTGTTTTTCCTTCACACTGTCGCCAAAACGCTGGCTCATTATTATTGTAGGGTCTTTACCTGAGAATATAAAATGCTTGTGATTTGGTGCAATACAAATAAAATTGAATGAATTAATATTTTTGGTCGTATAATTGGTCAATAACAGTCAGCTTTATCTTTTAGTAATTAAAATAAATAAATCTTTGGACATGTTTTTCTGATCTGTGTAAGAATGTTATTTGAATATTTGAGGGGAAATTTATTACTATTCATTAAATGTTTATTTTCACCAGTAAAATTTTAAAAATATATTTTTTTATTTAATTCTTTTTTCTGTGTTTTTCTAATATTTTCTAAATTACAAAGCGAGTTAGTAAATTACTTTATTGCAAATTATTATTTAATGCTCTCAGTTGCAGTTGCAATCTGAGTTAAATACTCTCTACGGAGCCCCGCAAGGGACAGTGGAGGAAAAAAGATGAAGACGAGTCATCTTCATCTTTTTTCCTCCACTGTCCCTTGCGGGGCTCCGTACTCATACTTCATAATAACATTTAATTAGCAGACGTTGGGTCTTATTGATCCTGGGATGTTACTTTTCCACATGGACGATGTTATACATTATTCGGTGTATTAGATGCTTCTTTTTAATACTCAGCTTCCAGCTTTTAAAACAATGTTCCTAATACTGTAGGTGATTATTATTGTTTGGATGAACTGATCAGATGATGGCGTTACCTGAAATTTTCCGTAATTAGTTTAAAATAAATATTTATAAACTAGTAAAAAGAGCAAATGAAGCAAAGACGACGCATCTTCTTTATTTGTTTGTTTAAAGCCACAAAAATAAGAAAAACCTTTTTCAGTGTTGTAATTACCCGGAACTGCATTTCCCATAATGCCGCGGGGCTGTGAACCGTTAGGAGGACTGACTGCACAATGATGTCATCTTACTCGCTGACGACCGTTGTACTGCGGACAGATCTGCGTCGCGAGCTAATTATCGTGTGCGCACTCAGACAACTGCCACTACGTCACTGCAAGCTGCTGAAACGTCATCGGGATCTACAGGTGAGCATTTACGTGAACTCAGTGTGTGAGTCTCCGTGTTTACATATCTTTGTGGGGACCAAACATTGGAAGTTTATGGGGACCAACAGTTCCGTCCCCACGAGCCGTCTTTCACACTCAAACTGCAGTTTCAGGGTCAGAGTTCAAGCTGAGGGCCAGGCACTGGTTTTGGATGGTTGGGCAATCAGCTAGGGAAGGCTTATGTCAAAAAGATGTCGTCACTAAGATATGAAAATGTGTGTGTGTGTGTGTGTGTGTGTGTGTGCGTGCGTGCGTGCGTGTGTGTGTTTTCCGGTTTGTCGGTGAGCCACAGCTCACCTCTGCTTCCTGCACTCAGCTGCGGCAGTTGAGTTGGTGCTCGTCGGTTTGCGCTGCAGGAAGTTTGCCAACATTAAAAACGAGATGAGGACATCACAGCTCCAGGAGCTGATTGCAAAATCAGGACATTACATGTGAGCGTGCTTTAAACGTGCAGTTTATCGGATGTCCCCGAACCCTCCTGACCTCTGAGCCTCAGCTCTCGGGTCACAGACGAGCTGCACGCAGCTGTGTGTTTAAACTCGCTGAGCTCACTGGTGTCAAGCCAGCCTCCACTTTGTTTTACCTTCCCTGTGTATTCAAAGTATTATGGCAAAAGACGTGGAGACCTGATTTCAAAATAAGATAAGATAAAACTTTATTAATCCCTCGGGTGGGTGTAATGTTCTTATTCCTCTATGAATAAAACATCAAGAATTGCTCCTGGTGCTAGCTTCAGCTAGCTGTTTATTATTCTTTCTAGAACGATCACTTCTTCTTCTATTCTGTATATCTTATTGATTCCAGAGCGCCCCCTGTGGGTAGCTTCAACAATAGCAACTATCATTACAGTGGGTTCCTCTGGGAAATTCGGTTTCCAAAAAAGCACAGCACCGACAGAAGTTACAGTATATATTATATATAATATATATATACTAGAGACAATATAAATAAAATATACGAAGGGGGATCAAATAGAATAAATAGGAAAAAAGAAAATACAAGTGAATTGCACATTTCAAGTATTGAGGTCTATTGCACCGTTGACTATTAACAAAGGTATTGCACAGTGAGGTGAAGAGGCACTACAGCTTAGTTGTTCCCCCCTCCTTTGTCCTCCTGTTTCCCCTCCCTCTCCCCTCCAGAGAGGAGTTAAACAGTCTGATGGCGTGTGGGACAAAGGAGTTTTTAAGTCTGTTAGTTCTTGTCTTGGGGAGAAGCAACCTGTCACTGAACAGACTCTTCTGGTTGTTAATGGCCGTGTGCAGAGGATGCCTGGCATTGTCCATAATGTCCATCAGTTTCTTTAATGTCCTTTTCTCTGCCACTGTCACCAGAGTGTCCAGCTTCATGCCGACCACAGAGCTAGCCTTCCTGATCAGTTTCTCCAGCCTGGATGAGTCCTTCTTTGCTGTGCTGCTCCCCCAGCACACCACAGCATAGAAAAGTACTCCAGCAACCACCGACTGGTAAAACATCCTCAGGAGCTTCCTGCAGATGTTAAAAGACCTCAGCCTCCTGAGGAAGTACAGTCGGCTTTGGGCTTTTTTATACAGGTGCTCTGTGTTGCATGACCAGTCCAGTTTATTGTCCACCCACAGCCCGAGGTACTTGTACTTGTTGACCACCTCCACCTCCTCCCCCTCTATCTGAACCGGCAGTGGACCTTCTCTGGACCTCCCGAAGTCCACAACCAGTTCCTTAGTCTTTGAGGTGTTGAGTTGCAGGTGGTTTGTGTGACTCCATGCGACAAAGTTCCTCACCAGACTTCTGTACTCCTCTTCCTGATCATCCCAGATACACCCCATGATGGCCGTGTCATCTGCAAACTTCTGAATGTGGCATAATTCAGAGTTGTAGCAGAAGTCAGAGGTGTACAGGGTGAAGAGAAGAGGGGACAGCACAGTTCCCTGTGGTGCTCCTGTGCTGCTGACCACAGTGTCAGACGTGATGTCCTTCAGCCTGACGTACTGTGGTCTGTCGGTGAGGTAGTCGGAGATCCAAGCAACCAGGCAGGGGTCCACCTCCATCCTGTTCAGTTTTTCCTGAAGCATGACTTCTAAATAAAAGCCAACTTCCAGTAAATTAAGAGCACATCCACAAATATCAGTTAGTCTTGTTTGAACACTCTAATGCTGGATACAAATGACATACCCTACTATTCTAGTAGCAACATGTCAATATTAAAGCCATCTCCTTTTGGATTTCAAAGTAAAAGCCCTCTGAATGTTTATTTTTGAACTACTCTTTCAATTAATTCAGAATGGAAAATTCACGTTTCCACAGACTAGTCGCAGTCTATATTGACATTATACAACCCCATAGTGATACCATGTCAATCCGGTTGTTCAGT